TTCTCAAGTCTTATCTAGACTTGAGAACTCAATATGTATTCTATAATGGATTTAGTTCTTATAAATATATGCCAAGTAGTGGTGTACCTCAGGGTTCTAATTTGGGCCCCCTATTGTTTGCCTTATACGTTAACGATCTTTGCAGCACATTATCATGCAAGAAGCTTATGTTTGCTGATGATCTGAAGCTTTACGCATGTGTTTCTAGCTGGCAGGATTGTGAAAACCTCCAACAACAACTAGTCATTTTACAAACATGGTGTGTTAATAACAATTTGTATTTGAACAATTCTAAATGCCACATTTTGACCTTCACCCGGAAAGCCAAATTTTTAACTTAGCCATACAAAATTGATGATTCTGTATTGGAAAGGTGTGAAACTTTCAGAGATTTGGGCGTCTATTTCGATTTTCAGCTCACTTTTAACTACCACATCAGTGAAATTATAAGTAATGCGTATCGCAAATATGGCTTTATTATCAGAAATTGTAGAAATTTCAATAACACAACGCTTATCAAGTTATTTTCAGTGCTTGTTATAAGTAAATTAGAATATGGTGCAATTATTTGGAGTCCTATCTATAAACTGTACAAAACTAATGTTGAAAAAGTGCAGAAGAAATTTCTAAAATATCTATGCTATAGGAGTGATGGTGTCTATCCTCCAAGAGGATGTGACTACTCACAATTACTGAATAGATTTGGCATCCCTTCTTTGGAAAAGCGCAGAGAGCAGGCGTCCATCATATTTTTATACAAATTACTGCATGGTAACATCGACTGTCCTGTTTTGCTATCGCAAATTAATTTCCTGGTACCTAGATTGACATCTAAATATAAGGTTTCCTTTTACTGCAAGAGGGCGCAGACAAATCTTCTATCTAAAGCACCAATAAACTTTATGTGCAATAATGCGAATAGGATTGTGAGTTTTTGTGATATCTTCTGTTGTGGATTTAAGGAATTACGAAGTGCTATACGTTCACATCTTTGACTTTTTTACGCCTTTCTCTAGGGGTTTTCATTTGTTGTATATGTATATATGTATATGTGTATATATGTATTGTATGTATGTATTTATGTGTATATATGTATACCTGTATATGTGTATACTCATATATGTGTGTATGTGTATATGGATATTTGTGTATATACCAGTATATTCTGGTTTCCTAATATCTATTGATCATATTTATAGTTTCTTTTTTCTCTACTTAAAGCGCCTTTCTCTTTTCTGTGTGTGTTTTTTTTTATTTTTGTTTCACTTTATGACACACAGACTGTGTAAATTAAACCATTGTATTATGTATTGCTCTCTAAATGGTACCTGTACTGTTGGGCAATAAATGCTTTATTATTATTATTTCCAATCGACTTATTTTGAGTCTAAAAATACGTGGTACTACCATGTCCATGGAATTTTGGGGCACCCTGTATATCAGTTATTGGGAATAAATGGCTTTTGAAGGTAAGGCTCCTTCAGATGCGAGGAAAATAGTTTTTTTGTAATGTCAAAATTTATGGCGTGCCCTTATCATTGCTTCTTACGATAATAACTCAAAGATACTAACCTCTAAATTCCTAGCACAACTCTTCCCCTATTCGCGCTCTGTCACAGCAACTAAGTCGAGCCGAAAGCTCGTCGCTCTATACCGACTGGCGCTCAAACTGAAACGCGCCGCAAACTGGAGCTCTGAACGCACGCTGCTAGCCGCGCACAGACTGACCGACCGACAGACAGACGCACAAACTAAGAGGAGCGCGTTACACCGACTGGCAGGTCGCGAGGCTCACGATGGTATTTAAGCCCTTCTTCACTGGTGCACCAGAGGGTAGAGGCCTGTTGTGATAGGGTCGAAAAGTTCTTCAGGTATTACCTTCGAAAAGGTAGATGGGATTTCCAGTCAATAAGGTGCAGGTACACAATAAGATTTTTTAATTATTTTTTTGTCTCGTGAAATGAAAGTCTCATCAGAAGTATTATTTCATTGTGGAAAGATGCGTGATACAATGCCTCATGTCATCATGAGAGTTTAATCTCTTGTACGAGTTTCAATGTGTAAACATGATATAAGATAAAGAATGCACACGTCGTAAAAAAATAACAGACTTTATTACAGGAACGAAGAGTGGTAACAAGTATTGAACAAAATCTATATGTGCCTCGATATAATTCTAATCTTTATAGGAAAAATAACAGAGCTGTATCGAAAAAAAGAAGTAAAAAGCAAATATTTCTTAATGGGCTTGCTTGCCATACAATTCAATTTGTTGGAATAATGGGCTTGTACCACATAGTTATGTTACCAACAGGATTCCATAACTCCTCCCTCCTACGAAAAGTTGGTCTACAACTTAGAGAAAATTTAATTTACAGTTACAATATGGTTCCAAAGCTGTAAGAGTCGTAAGAAAGGTTTTGCAACTTAGTATGAACTATTATTTCCAAATGATTTTGGTAATAAGAAGGATTTAAAAAGCTAAAATTACTTTCAAGTAAAGGCAATGATAATTCAATATGCTTGCAGTCTTTAATATCAATTGAAATATTAGTATTAATAGTATTTTAAGTGAATATGAGGACAATTTTCCAACATAGATGGCTTACATGTGCCTGTTTAGTAATTAAAAAAATTAATGCGGATTGTTACCTAGTTTGATTAAATTGGAGCAATATCTTTCTTCTTCAAATTACAAAGTAAAATTGCTTGGGATCTTTATTCATTCATTCCTTATAATTAACGGATACAATTCAAAAACACTGTAAGTTTTTACGGTCAAGAAGAGGTACATGAATTACGAATATGATTCATTTCGCAAAGTTACAATTGATAGTTCGCAAAGATTCAGTATCTCAAAAGGGTGCATTGTTTCAAAATCTAACAGATGATCTTTATGGTATAAAGTTTGCAAATGTTCAATGAGGATATTTATTTCCCTATGATTTAATGAAAGAATGGATAGGACGCTCAAATGATTAATTTGAACTTAAATTTATTTGATGTGCGATTTGCTCGAAGAATTTCATTTGAAAAGCCATATTTTGTGTAACAGAAACTATGCTTTCTTGGATATTGATAGTATTGTGCTCAAAAGTGCCTTGCAAACATTTACAGAAGAAAATTACTTTTTAATTCTGTAGATTCAGTGCGTGTTGATTTTCACGTAGTTTTGGATTGGTTATATAATTTAAATTAATAAGGAATTGAGTTTTATGACGATTTTCGATTGAATTTCCTAGCGGCAGTTTGATTACCGGAGGTGCTTTGAGCAGAGGGTTCATCATTCGTCTCAGCATGTGTTTCTTTGATTAAAATTTGATTTCCTTGTTGTTTGAAAATAGTGTGTTTTTGATATTTTGGTTTGTCCTTAGTTTGTCTGATTGGTATTTTGATATAGATCGGAGATTTTAAAACGGGGATCTTAGATACGCGTGTTTCGTTAATTTTGTTAGTTTGTTTTTTTAATTGATTATAAGAATCGTGAGCGATTTGTTCATTAATTTTGTCTTTTTCTAATATTTGTTTAAAATGTGATGAATAAGGGTCTTCAGTACTACCGTATAATAAATCAAAAGGTGTATGTTTTGTAGTAGAATGAACAGATTGATTGTAATTTAATATAACGTCAGTCATTAGGTCAGTAGTAGGGTAAATGCACCTGTAAATGAACGGTACCAGTAGTTGAACAAAAGCCCAAATTTAGCTATTTTTTAAGATTCGACTCCCCTCTAGCCTTATTTTTGATGAATTGACATCATATTTTGAACGTTTGTCTTAACTTGTTTCACAAATAACACTTCTGAGATCTAGTGAACGAACGTGTCGGCGGCAGAAAAATTCACATTTCCTGTCTGGTGGTATATCGGAGCAAGTGCTATAACGTCTTAGGTAAGTAGCTATTCTCAATAATAAGGATGTTGCTCACATAGCAGCAGTAATGTGAATAAATACTTGAATAAGACACCTATATACTCCTTTTTAATACTAAACATAACCTAGAAAACGCTAACTTCCCGCCAAAATAGAAAATATAGTCGTTCATTCATTGGTGCCATTGATAAACCAGTAAATGAACAGATCGTTCATTGACTAGGTATTTCAACATGCAAATGAAATTCATCCTTGTTCTTCATATCGTAAGATCCTTATATGCTCTTTCAGTCTACAATAGTGGAACGTTAAATTTACGCCCCGATCCAGTAATTGAACGCTCTTTTATAAATCGTTCATTTATTGGATCCCGAAGTAAATTTCAATACCCAGTGAATGATCGTTAACAAATTCCCTTTTGTCCTACATAATATTATACTTACTTGCGTGGAAAGATGGGTTGGTATGATGATGTCTTTTTATAGATATGGAAAATCCAAAAAAACCATACAAGAGATTTCGATACACGGAGGCGCAGCTACAAGAGGCAGTAGAGTTCATCAGACAATCAAAATTGAACATTTCCCAAGCAAGTAAAAAATATGGAATTCCGAAAAGTACTTTATCGAATAAATTAAGAGGCAAAGTGCCTGCAGTGAGAAAAATGGGACCCACAACCATTCTTACAATGGAAGAGGAGGCCAATCTAGAAAAATGGATTTTATCCAAAGCAATGTTAGGTTTTCCAATGCACCCAGACGAAGTTAAAGATTCAGTTCAACGAGTTTTGAAAATTGTGAAACGACCAAATGTTTTCACAGATGATAGGCCAGGAAAAAAATGGATGAAACTTTTTCTTCAAAGGCACCCCAATGTTACGCAGCGAAACACTGAAATAATTTCAAAAGGTCGAGCATCAGTTACAGAAGAAGGCATTTGGACATGGTTCGGTGAACTAAAGGATTATCTAATCAGCGAAAATGCTGAGGATATTCTATCATGCCCTGAAAGAATTTTTAACGCAGACGAGACAGGGTTGCAGACATGTCCAAAATCGGGAAAATTGTTAGGTCCAAAAAATTATAAGAACTTTTATGAGCTGGCAAGCCATCAAACCTGAAACAATAATGGCTGGATTTCGAGTAACCGGTTTATTTCCTTTTGACCCAAATGCAGTAGACTATTCGAAATGTATTTCGAACAGGCGGAAAGAAATTCGGGAGTTGGAAGTTGTGCGAACTATTGCAAATCCTGTTAATTCTGCAGATTATAAAAGTACTCTTAAAGTTCTCGAACATCATATGGATCCACCCTTATTAGACCAGTTTAGTCGATTGAGAGATATCGGAGATTCATCTACAAACCAACTATTTCACATTTGGAGTTTGTGCAAAGACTGTTCAAATACCCAGAGAGGAAACTGATCAATTTGAATCACTAATAAATGATTTTTCTGATTTCAATGAATTCGATATTAATAGTATGCCTATTGAACTCGACGGGATAGTGTACAGTAGTGCTACGGAAAGCCAACAATTAGACGAGTCAGTAAGCTGCGCTACGGAAGAACCTTCGAAAAAAATTATTGTACACAGTGTTGTTACCCTCGAAGACCTGGTGAAGAATAGAGGGGGAGACCAGCTTACGATGGAAGATGTTAATTTGATTAATGAATCTGAAAGTATTTTACAAAACTACAGCGTGACAAAACCTGAAAAACTACAGAAGACTGAAAGTCAACACAATGAACAAAACAACGCGGAAGATAATATTTCGCAGGATAAATATTGTAACGTAGTATTAGAAAAGGAAACTTCAATGAAGCCAGTGGAAGCGGACAACATTTCAGAAAATACGCTCCCGAAAAAGGTTATAGATGAGAAAGAGGTGTGGTCGCAACATTTGCGTTGGCCTAGTGAACCAGTGAAGTCTACAAAACGTAAATCTAACGATAACACTCGTATGCCGTACGCAATTACTTCTAAGAAGTTCAAAGAATTAATGGATAAGAAAGAAGCAGTGAAACAGAAAAAAGAAGAACTGAGAGTACAACGAAAATTGAAGGTCAATTTGAAGGCTAAAACCAAGAAGATTAATCCTAAACCTAAAACTAAGATAAAAGACAACATTAAGAATCATACAGAACGCAAAAGTGGTGGAAATGACTCGCTCGATATGAAGGAAAATAATATCGGCGCAGAAGAAAATTCAAACTCATCTGGACCTGATACTGGGTCCTATGTAATCGTCCTTTATGATGAAAAGCCGTTTCCAGGAATCGTCAAGAATATAGAAGGCGAGGAATACGAAGTGCAGACTATGTGCAAGGTTGATATTGAAGGAAAATATCATTTCAAATGGCCCGGTCGAGTTGATCAAATTTGGTACAATAAAGCGTCTATTTTAGAACAAATTACTGAACCAAGATTAATTCGTAGGGGCATATTTGAATGCAATGAAATAGAGAAATACTTACCTTTAGAATAGGCACCTGGTCATATCTAAATCAATCTATAGTTATAGATTTCTAATCTTAAGTTAACGCAACCTAGATATAGTACCAAAAATGTGTAGGATTCAGTTAGTTCATTTACTAGATACCCATTGTTCATTTATTAGAATTTATGTTCATTTACTAGATACACATTGTTAATTTACTGGCAACACGTGTTCATTAACTAGGATTTAGTGAAATGGTTAATTATTTTATTTTTTTACTGAATAATATGTAAGTTTGTGAACATGTGATTTTAAATATATATTCTCAACTGAAACAGCGAGTATTTAGTATTTTTTTTAAATGTTACCTTATAATATGGATTTATAAAATTAGTGGTTACTTTGAAAAAGGCCTAACGCGTTCATTCACTGGTACACTTACCCTAGTGTCTGTTTTAGGATTCGAAATTTTTCTCCTATGTAATCGTTCAATTGGTGCAATAGAACTAGGATTGCTAGTGCTTCCTAAGTGCAAATGTATTTCATGAGCTTTACAATAATCTTTAATAACTTCTGAACGTAATTCTCCATAATCGGCATGAAGTGATTTTGGAAATCCATGATGTGAAAAGAAATGTTTCATTTTAGATAGTATGTCAACGTGATTTCGTGACGTGGTCTGATAGGCTTGGGCATATCGACTAAAGTGGTCTATAAAAGTTACATATTTAGTATTTTCAATAGTAAAAATATCTATGAACACTAGTTGGATTGGTTCTTTGTAAGGATTTCGTTCGTATTTAGCTTTTAAACAGATTTCGCATTTATTAATGATGTCAGTTATAAGGTCTTTAAGTTTTGGTGTATAGTGAGTCTTTTGGAAATGAGAATAAGTTTTATTAATTACGTTGTGAAATTTATGATGGTACAAAGTTATTTCGTCTTTAATTTCTTGTTCGTCTAAATAAATTGGTTCAAGTGCAGCATTTTCTAGTACAATATGTTTTGCAGAAAAAGATTGTGTCATAATTTTACTAAGTATGGGCAAAAGCTTCTGATCGTCGTACCAAATTCCGTATTTAATACCAGGGGTACAATAATTTTTTATACAATCCAAAATAAATGAGGAACATAAGTGATTAATTAAAGAGCACCTTAGTGTCTTATTTCGGAAGTAATTTGATCTTTTTTTTCTTTTTACCTGTTATAAATTCAATTTGGTGAGGATAGGCATAAAAGTTTTTGTCTGAAAATTGAATCGAGTTTGGGTTTGATTCAGGCGAAGTGTGTCTGGTGTTAGTTGATCTGTTGTCTGTTTCGTGAATAGTCATTTCTGATTCGGGTGCGTTAGGGATCATTGATTCGGTTTCGAGATAATCTTGAACATTTATCTGGATTCGGCTTAAGGCGTCAGCAACTAAATTTGTTTTGCCTTTTTTGTATTTGATTTCGAAATCGTATTCCTCAAGTTTGATTTTCCATCTAATTAATCTCTGGTTTGGTTCTTTCAAATTTGATAACCACACCAAAGGTTTATGATCAGTCTCAATCAGAAATCTATGTCCAAATAAATATGGTCTAAAGTGTTTGCATGAATCAATAATGGCTAAGAGTTCTTTTTCAATGGTGGAATAATTTCGTTCAGCAGAGTTTAATGTTCTTGAATGAAAACTGATAGGTCTTCCGTCTTGTGATAGAACACTTCCTATCGCAATATTTGAGGGGTCTTGAGGAGTCTTTCTTGTTACATCAAAAGCTTGAATGTAATCAGAATCTGAAATGTTGATTTTCTCGTCTTTCTTTAAACATTTAGTGAAAGGTTTGGTGATTTTGCCAAAGTCTTTAATGAATTTTCTGTAATAGTTGGTTAATCCTAAAAATGATTGAATTTGTTTGATAGTTTTTGGTATTGGAAAATCTTGAATGCATCTGATTTTATCCGGATTTGGTTTAATTCTGTTTGGCGTTATTACATGTCCCAGAAATGGAACGTCTGTTTTTAGAACTCTGTTTTGTCAAGTTGTATTTTCAATTGATGTTTAATTAAAGCTTGAAATATAGATTTCAAATGAATAAGGTGGTTTTGCAATGATTTTAAGAAAATTATTATGTCATCTAAATAGACGAAACATATTTTTCCGATGTAAGGTTTTAAAACAAAATTCATCATTCTTTGGAATGTTGCTGGAGCGTTTTTCAGTCCGAAGGGCATTCGTAAGTATTCATAGTGCCCGTTGTCGACAGTGAAGGCAGCCTTTTCAATTGAGTGTTTGTGCATAGGAATCTGATGGAATCCTTGTGCCAGATCAAAAGTTGGAAAATATTTGGCTTTGCCTAAACTCTCTAATATTTCTTCAGTTCGGGGCAAAGGATATTTATCTTCGATAGTAATGTCATTTAGTTTACGAAAATCGATTACCATGCGATATTTTTTAACGCCGGAAGCGTCAGGCTTCTTATTTATGATCCATACAGGTGATGAGTACGGACTTGTACTGGGACGGATGATGTCATCTTGCAAAAGTTTAGCGACTTGTTTCTGAATTTCGGTTTTTAAATAGACTGGATAGCGAAAAGATTTTACAAATATTGGGTCGTCGTGTTTTGTTCTGATAGAATGAGATGTTACGGTACATGGCTCTAATTTTTCGTTAGGTTTTAGAAAAGCTTCAGGAAATTTTCTACAAAGTTCTGTTATCTTGTATTTTTCCTCGTCATTCATGTGATCAGTTCTTATTAAAGTTCCAATATCAGTTAAATTATATTCATTCTGAGGTGTTTCAATTTCGTAATTATCCAAATTGTCGTATTTGATGAATTGATAGTTTAAATCTAATAGATTTGGATTTTCTGGGTATAGTACTTCGTAATTATTAACGGTACAAATCATTTCGGGTGTGTAATCGTTAGAATTTAGATATTTAATAGGTGGAACGATAATTTGTCCATTTTTGATAGGGGATTTTAGAACTTGATTTTTGATTACAGTATTCGGGACTTTACGTGGTATTTTGTCAGTGTGGCAAATAAAGTTTAAACGATCAATGGATAGCAAATTCTTAGATGTTTGTAAAGTAGCTTGAAATTTTTGTAGATCATAATATCCTAGCAAACAGTCAAAACGTTCGTGCCAGTCTAAACTGAGAAATTCAATTTCGGTGTTAATGTCATGTTCATTGAACAAAGGAATTCGCAAAGCGTATTCACCGTGTTTAGTACCAATGACAGATTTTATTGAAAAGTGTTTTGGATAAATGTAATCTGGAAAATAATTGAAAGCAATTTGAATGTTGATCAAAGACACAGATGCACCAGTGTCTATAAGAACTAGCAAATCTAAATTTTGTAAATAAATGTATGGCAAATGTGTGTTCTCATAATTATTGAGATCTAAGTCAATGGGTTTTGATTTGGGGCTTTCGGGAAATTTTGAGTTGTCTCTTCAGGGGGAAACTCGACAGTAGGGTTATTATCTGAATTTTCATATTCTTGTTGGTCATAATTTTCATAATTTGGATCATACTACTGCTGTTCATCGTATTCTTGTTCGTTCTGTAGTTGTTCGGTCGCTCGTCGCTTCGGTGTTGGTTAGTTCTTCAGCGATAAAATTTGGATCTTTGATTTGAGAAAAAGTTAGGACGGTATTGATTCTGTTGTTGCGAGGGGCGGTTCGTAATAGTTGATGTAGACATGGGTGTGGGTTTAATGTTTTTTGGTGGACCTTGTCTATTTTGTGGGTAGAAATTAGGCTGTCGTGGTTGAATTTGTCTTTGAAATTGATTATTAAAATAATTTGGTCTGATGTTAATCGGGCCAGGTGGGAAGTTAGATCGTTGTGGCTGTTGGTAAAATTGCGGATTGTAAAATTGTTGGTTTGAAGGGAATCGCCACATATGTATATTTTGAACGGTATTTTTAGGTTTCGGTTTTTGAATGGCGTTAGTATTTTTGGCATTTTGTTTAGTAAATATCTATCGTATTTTCGACAAATTTGTAAGGCAGCTTGAAGAGTTGTAGGTGTTGCGTTAAATAGGAGTGATTTATATGGTTCTTTAATACCAGTTACAAATGAATTTAATGCAGCTTCTGTGTAAAGGTCGACTCTAGATTGAGCAACTACATCAGAAAATTCCAAAAGAGCATATTCTCTAAGAATATGTAATTTTTGCAAAATTTCAGTATGAAAATTCATATAGTCTGTGCACTGGGATAAATTTCTAAGTTCATCAAGTAGCATTAATTCGGATTTTGAATCTTTGTAACGTTCTTTGAGAATTTCTTCAAATTCTTGCCAAGTTTGAGGATTATTTCGTTCAACAATAACAGAAGGTTCTCCTTGTAGTTTGGATTTTACGTACGATAAAGCATGGATTTGATATGGGCCATGCAAAGCGGCAACAAATTCTCTAGATTTACGTAAATATACAGATAAATTATTTGATGTTTCAGAAAAAATAGGCACACTATCTTTCAGTAGGTTAAATAACATTTGTGGATTGTCAGCCATGGTTGTTCTGAATTCCTCTCTAACGTTAGCTTGGTTTTTTACTGGTTGTCTTCTAATGGGTGATCGTTCTCGTACTGGAGATTTACCAAAAGTTTCTTTGACTAAATAGATAAAATGAATTTGGCTTACTCTAGCATTATGTGAAAAATAAATTTTTTCATAACGGAGACTGCTCTGGTTCTTGTAGCTCTCTGTTTTTCTAGGCTCGTTCTGCAAGGACCTCGGACGTGGCTCTCAGGTTCTCAGATCGTTTCTCTTACGGAAGTGGATACTTCCTACCTCACAATGGTTGGTCGCACAGAAGGGACGTAGTTCAGCTCACCTGATGAATCTCGAAGATTTTACTGATGGTTGGCTGGGCTCGTACAAACTTCCAGATGTTTTCCACGAAGGCGTATAACGCTCCTGTTCGCAGCGCCAGATAAAGAATGCACACGTCGTATGGTAAAAAAATAACAGACTTTATTGCAGGAACGAAGAGGGGTTACAAGTATTGAACAAAATCTATCTGTGCCTCGATATAATTCTAATCTTTATAGGAAAAATAACAGAGCTGTATCGAAAAAAAAGAAGTAAAAAGCAAATATTTCTTAATGGGCTTGCTTGCCATATAATTCAATTTGTTGGAATAATGGGCTTGTACCACATAGTTATGTTACCAACAGGATTCCATACCTTATATCGCCAATCTCGTATGAGACATTTCACTTGCTGCACCTGAGTCACGTTGTTATATCGTGGAATAAAACTTGTGTTTACGGAAATGTGTGAACCAAGTGAAACGAGGAGTTGAAAAGCAGAAATTCTAGTTTCAATTGGGCCAGAGCCATACTAGTAGAGTTATTATTAGAGTTATATGAATCTTATCTCAATTTGCGGGACTGCTCGTCAAAAAGCTGTAAATATAGAAATCTGAGAAAATTTGCTGGAATTCCATTAGGCATATGTGTGTCTTGGTTTTTCTATTGCAAACTCTAATTTGTCCAGCAAATTACAAAAATCAGCAGTGGACATTCGACGAAAGTTGTTATATCACTCCTGTTCTTCCCGTTCTAGTTGCTCTTATAATGTTGCCATTATATTATTTTCAATTTTCTTAATACAATCTCTTACCCAAGATTTGTACAGCCTTTTGTTTACAGTACGGGGCTTGATAACTTAATAACAAGCGGCCGTTTTTTTCATCCTGTGCTTTTTGTTGGCATATTTAACCCGCAATTATGATGATCACTAATGTTATGATGTACTTTTCTCTGTTTCTCTCACATATGTACTGAGGAATCAGCTGAGCCCATGTGAAAGCATAGATTGCTAGTAGCATAACTCGAGTGTTTCAGAGAAATTCTCAAGTTCTGTGGAAATGCATCCGACATAAGTTTCTCATAAGACAAACATCTCTTGAGATTTTAGTCTTCTTGTGGGCACTAAGCTTTAAACGTCGATCTAGCAAAAGGCTGAGAGATTCGCGATCAGAGTTGCCAAACTGAAAAAAACCAAATCCGTAGACAGTGCCGTTGAAATTCGGTAGGTTCAAGTACAAAATCGGTAGGAGGAAAAAATCAGGGTTCGCAAGATCAGCGGTGGATCGAGAGCATTTGCGTCACGTGGAAGTAGTACCTAGATCTTTGTATTTCCCATACAACACAGATTTTTGATGGCATCTTTTCCTGACAAAATATCAACTACTTCATTATAATTTGTACAACGAACATACTTTGTAATTCTATAACCACTTTGTATATCTAAATAAAGGCAGGGTAATTTTCATAATAATTATTAATTTCTTTGTGCCCAGTTTTAGAATTGAAAATGGAAAGTCACCAGTATTAATAATGTGTGAAAGTCTTAATTCAATTTCTGCTGTCTTCTTTAAACTTGACTCATTTATTTTAACAGCTTGCAGAACTCGCCAAAAGAAGTTGATATACCAAAAATCACCTATATAAAAGTTGCATAATGAGAGGGTTAATTTACAGCTCTGGAGTACAACTGTCAGTGATGCTGAGTGATCGAACTCCCACGTCAACTACAAGCTGGAACAAGTCAGGACATGTCGCTCAAGATACAAATACCAGTCAACCTCTTACTTCTTCTTGGATGATATCCTCGCAAGTATAAGGTAATCATTATGAATATGAAAACAAGGATATGCTTTTTCTCCGAAGCAAGACCTTATACTTTTACCTTATTCTTCTGATGATGTGCTTCTCTTTTATGAATACGACTCATTACCTCGGTTAAGAATATTAACCAGACCAAGTTACTGTTGAAGTAATTTTTGATAAACATGTGCTTTTATCATACGAAAAATTGACAATTCCAATACAATTCTTTATTGTCCGTGGGAGAAGAGCCATCCATCAGTCGGACAGCCCTCTTCTGAACAGCTTCGAGCATGAATAATGTAGACGGGCGGTAGCACCCCAAACATGTGAGCAGTACTCGACGCTAGGTCTTATCTGAGCCTTGTACAGAGTGAGGAGATTATTTGGAGAAAATACTTCTTAGCCCTAAGCATATTAGTAGCTATTACCTAGCTTTTTCCGAGTAACTGTTTGTACCACATCAGGTGATCGGTGATCTGGACCAGCTGGAATTAACACGAGTCTTTGGTAGAATTCGGACATCAATCGAAACCGGATGATAGTCAAAAAAATGTACATCCGGATAGTGGGAAGTAGAAACGTATTACCGTGGCACTACTAGTAATTTATCTCTTTGTGGGGAATTCCACTGAATTCCCCTGCAAATCAGTAGTAATTACCATACCTTTTAACCGAAAATGAGATTACCCCTATTACTCTATAGATCCATTTAGCATAACCGTTTTAAAGTAATAGTTATAAGAATCAGCAGGTAGGAGAATTCAGGTATAGTAATTATGAGTTTATCTCATTGGGTCCAGATGTAGTGTTGCAATATATTCAGGGAATTACTATTTGGATGGATTCTTAATAGTTAGTGTCAAGTATAACAGGATCAATGTAAATATACTGGGTGAACCTGCACCAACATTTACGAGGGGAGTTGAAAAAGTATGTCCACGACTTCTCGCGAATTACAGTAAAACTACAATTATTACTTTTATACATCCATTTCAACCTCTATGCTCGAACATTTGTTTTTTTCAACTCAAAGACATACTCTTTATAGTTCAAGTTCAAGGACTTCACGTTTGCTTGAGACTCAACCTTATATTTAACACTATTGAAAATGTTTATGCCTAAATAATTTGGTGAGATTTGGCTGCATTTATAGTTACAAATAGGTAAATATTATTGACTTTTCATCCTGGTATTGTGCGTGTGAATATCATTGCTTACAAAAAAGTGTGCCTATTGTTAAACGCGTAAGTGGCTATTTCTAGTGTATACAAACAAGTCAATATCAGTAATCAGTGTTTAAATGGCTCTCTACTCGAGTGGTGGTTACATACATTTGCTAAACTATTCACAATCTTTTTTTTTTGCGTGGGATGAGCTACACCACAAGCAAATGCCATAACGAAGTCTGAACTCAACGAACCTATAATATATATTTAATGAAGCAGAACAAATTAAAAAAATTCTCAAATTCCCAAAAGCATATACATAAGAGGATCAGTAAAGGCTCGAGAGTTTTTGTATCTTTGGGCATTTATACTAAATTAATGTAACTTGCGCTGGTAATTGTGAAATCTGCACACTTCTGTTTTGCTCGGTTTTTAAAAAAGGTCTGTATTCAGTTTATAGAAGTATCGTCAGGAGGTGAATAACAGCAGCGCTCCCCCAATTCACATGTATGTACAAGAGCGAGTAGCAGAACACTTAATCTGCTTACTTTGTGACGTAATCGCCAAAAAAAACCTAAAAATAACTAGGGTACTCCTGTTTTCCGAAAGACGAAAATTATCATTCTGAAAAGGAAAGAGCAATTGTAAATGGAGCCATACACATTCCAAATACCTATTGTCGTATAAAATACTGTAAATACTTTTTAAGTATAGAAGCCACTACTTTTTTTTATAGAGTTACCAGGGTTGGCTGCCAATTAAAGAAAATTGTTAATCCGTGGTTGAAATATTATGTATATGAGACCTACCAGTAATAAATTGTCAAAAAGGTTATCCCTTCAGGGTGTCAGATATGTCAAACTATGAATTACTTTCGGAGATGTAAGCATTTTGAAGTATTCAAATATGATTCCTTCAGCAGTTTAGTGTCATCATGTTACCCAGATTATGTTCAGTGACGATGAGATGTGAAAATAAAATCTACCAAAAATGGCATTCATTAAGAAAGTCTATCAGGATGTATAAGACAATGTGAGTTTCGAACATGTTTTTCTTAGTAAAGTTCTAATCTTCATTTTGAGACAACGCAAACCTGTTTATAGCTGTTTATAATGCTTAATTTATTTCAGACCAGAATTTAACAGACAGTTCATGATTTCCGTTTCGCTAGGTTTGATCATAGGATCCTTTATAACGTACATGCTCATAATATTAAATAATTCACATAGGAGGATAACTGCTGGACCTTCTATTGACCCAGGTAACTTATTTATTTGGTTTTCTATTACATGTTCGGTCCAGTTTAGAAAGTATTTGTAGCCTTATGTATTAGGCAGGGAATTACTATTAGGCTAGACTTTTTTATATAGGATCTGTGAAAATGAACACTTTTATCGTATATTCAATGAAAATAACTTCACTGTAAAGCCACTTCGTTACGAAATTACTTAACTTTTCCTAGTCCATTACTTCGCATCTGATGGAAAAATTATTCTGATTAAGACTTTGACATAATTTTATTCAAATTTGCGTCAAATATTTACTTAAACATTTCTTTTGAACAGTTTATACTCGGTCAAAGTGTGTTTTCGGTTTTTGGGGACATTCTGAACAAAAAAGAAATGACTTTTCTCTAAAGTTGATATTTTCCGAGATATAAGCGATATATATAATATTTATAACAGTGCGAAATATGCCATTTACGATCCCGTGAGCCCGTGAAAACATACAGGGTGTTCTATTTCAAAACTTTTGAGAAATCGTTCATCTGTTCTTCACCACCCTGTATGACCTAACCAAAAAATTCAATTCTCCAACTATCACAGTTGCGGCGGTGCGAGTTGTCAATGTTTTGTGTATTTTTTTCGGTAGGTTGCCCAATATCTCAACAATTTCAAAATGAACCCTAAAGTATGTTACGTCAAATTGCTTTGTTTGAAAGGGCCTATCCGAATCTGCAATAAAATGTCGGTCTTTCCATTTAAAAAAAAAAGCACGTTTGGGTCACCACGTAATTACGAATCACAGTGTAGATTTCAAGGTATTGTACTCGTAAATTATGCTTCTCATTTTCTTAGGTAGAAACAAGCGCGGATCCAGGATCACGTCTTGAAGGGGAGCAAGTAGTGTGGGTTGCCTGCTTTCAAGAGGTATTACCAAATCGTTTGCGCTTATTATAAAGTAATTAAGCAGGAAAATAATAAATAGCAGTGTAAGAACAGAATGCACATTTTAGGTCAAGTTAAACAAAAAAATATGTGGTCTCTCCTTCTTTCCCTTTTACTAATTTTTTCTGTCTGACGCCTTGGGGGGCAATGGCAGCGTTCCCCCCCCCCTGGATCTGCGCCTGGGTCCAAAAATGACCTGGGATCTTACATTTTATTTGGTATTAGGTTCTCATGGCAATGACGAAGAATTTCACAGAATAGAAGATCACACTGTAGCCAAGAAATTGTATGAGAAAGTTCGAGTACTTTGCTGGGTTATGACCCAACCAAAATATCATGAAAAAAGAGCAAAACACGTTAAGGCTACTTGGGGAAAAAGATGCAATGAATTGTTATTCATGAGCTCTGTAGAAGGTGAGGAAATTATCAGATTCTGAACACATAGTTTTCCATGTAGATCGCATGAAAACAGCAGAATGTGGCAACCATCTAGTTCAGTAGTCGCCAACCCGTCATAAAAGCTTCCGTAAATTTGGTAAATTCTCTAATAAACACAAGCAGCAGCGACACTGCGGTGAGAGATCTGTTCGAGAACGATCTCGACTACTTTGAATGGAATAAATACGCAAGGCGCGGCGACAGTGCGCTCAGTTTAAAACTGATGAAGACATACCATTTCCATTTGGAATGGGAATAACAATATTTCTTTTTAGAAGTTAAAGGTAAAAATGTATGTTTGTTATGTAATACATCTGTTTCCGTTGCAAAAAGGGGAATATCGAGAGGCACTATAAAATTTTGAAAAATCATTCCCATTACATTCTGCAACCAAAACGGAAAAACTGAAACAATTCAAAAATCATTAATTGGACAACAGACAACGTTTTTAAAAACAATCGGAAACAGTAAGACTGCAACTGAAGTATCATACCGAGTGTCCCAGATAATTACACTAAATAATACACCTTACGAAGATGGGGAAATGATAAAACAGGCGTTTTTAGAAGCTGCAGATTCATTATTTGACAACCTTAGAAATAAAGACGAGATAGTGTCTGCTATAAAATTTATGCAACTTTCTGCTAATACAGTGGTGAGACGAGTAGAAGTAATGAGCAATGATATAGTTTTACAGTTAAGAAATGACTTCAATAACTGTAAATAAATCACAAGATCTTGGAGGCCAATTCACAGGTTCAAAACGTGAAATTAGGCGGTCACCAAACGCGTCAATAAATCGATTGTAGCACGAGCTGTGTGACATGTTGCGCCGTCTTGTTGGAACCACAGCTCCTGGACATCATGATTGTTCAATTCAGGAATGAAAAAGTTAGTAATCATGACTCTATACCGATCACCGTTGACTGTAACGTTCTGGCCATCATCGTTTTTGAAGAAATACGGACCAATGATTCCACCAGCCCATAAAGCGCACCAAACAGTCAGTTTTTCTGGATGTAACGGTGTTTCGACAGAGACTTGAGGATTAGCTCCACTCCAAATGCGGCAGTTTTGGTTGTTGACGTAGCCATTCAACCAAAAGTGCCCTTCATCGCTAAACAAAATTCGCTTATGAAAATCTGGAACAACGACAATCTCGTTTTGGGCCCATTCGACGAATCTACGCCGTGTTTGATGATCGTTTTGATCTTGTAAGCAGGCAAAATGTTCCATGGTTAATCGAATTAACTGCTTTGATGGACGATTTTGTCGAAAATAAAATGGTCGTAGTTCGCGATACGTATTTCGCACAGAACCATTATTTTCGAAAGAAAACTCCACAATTTGCAAGCGTTGTTCAGGCGTGAGTCTATTCATGATGAACTGCCAAACCAAACTGAGAATAAATCGCTTGACAGCTGTCAAATCGGTCGCCATCTTCAAAAGTAATGCCAACTTAAAGTTCTACGAAAAACACCCGTTACTTCTTCAATCTGAAGTCCGATGGTTAAGTAGGGGACGAGTGCTGAATGGTTTTAATGATATCATATCTGCCACAGTTCAATTTTTCAAACAACGTGATGAACCAATTCTGAAATTCATTCTAGCTTAGAGATTTTGGTTTTCTTGTGGAAAAATTAAAAGAACTTAATTTGCAGCTTCATGGGTGAGACAAAGAACCAGCAGAAATGATTTATGATATAAAAGCGTTAACAGAAAGCTTGAGCTTTGGGAACAAAACTTAATCGATGGCGATACCAGGCATTTTTCTGTTCTTTCAGAAAAGATATCTCAAAGTCCATTAGAACCGTATGGCAGTAAATATCATATAGAAATAGTCTCTAACTTGAAGGATAACTTCAAAAATCGTTTCTAAGATTTCAATGAAATTGCTATAATGGTGCAATTTGTTGTTTCACCCTTCATGGAAATTGATATCCAACAGTTTGCAACTTCTGTTACGCAGAATGCTAGCGAAGACATCGCTGCGACGGAAATGGAAGTGATTGTGCTTCAAAATGATTTAGCATTAAATTAATTATTCTCAAATACATAAATATTCAGTTTTCTGTAGTGATGCCTTGAAAGTGAAAGCGTTATTTAGTTCAACATATTTGTGTCAATCTTCTTTTCCAAATATGAAGTTTATTAAAAACCGATACCGTAATCAAATTACAGATGAATTGTATTCGAATGGCTGTATCAAATTATATGCCAAACATTAAAAAAATTGTCAGTCAGTCTGAGTGTCAGACTTCTCATTGGAAACGCATTTTTTATCTGCACATGTTTTTGCTTAAAATAGTGCGTTGCTTTTTTTATTTTTAGTTACCTTTATTAAGTCGTATGTGACATGCCATTGTAGCTGACGACAAATTTTGTTTGTTGTTCAAACACCTACGATTGGTTGAATGGATATAGTTATGTAGTATGTATTAGTTATTAGTTTATTTAAGTTTATTAGTATGTATTAGTTTTAGTAAAATAAGCGCATGTATGTCGCATACAACAAACTGTGTATTATTTCATTTAAGCTGGCTTACATTGCTTACGACTGGGTAGGTCACTGTTTGTTCCAAAAATTATCAAAGTAGCTCAACACACTGAAAAGGTTGGCGACCACTGATCTAGTTCTACAAACCGAGGCCTCTAAAAAACGCCAGTCTCTGCATGAGGAGTTTTATAATTTTTCAGATTCATCGTTACCATCGATAGCACTGCATGGTGTCAAAGAAGATCAGGAATACTTATGGGGAAAGACTAAAGAAGCTTTTAGATATGTTTATAAACATTATTTAGATAAAGCTGATTGGTTCTTGAAAGCTGACGATGACACGTAAGTTCCAATTTTTTCGCTCGTGTTTTGGGAACAAACATGTTTGAAATTCGTACATTGGAAGACAACTCAATTTGAATCCTTTGAATTTCTTGATCTGAGGAATCACCTAGCAGAATTAGAACTTTATTTCGATAGAATGTGATCATAGCATTTATGTCAAACTATCATCGTCAGATGATAAATATTATTTTCCTTACATCTGAAGAAGCCTAATCTCCAGGCAGAAAAAAAACCGCGTATATCATACCTGATATATACTCAGTGACATTAGAAGTGTTACACCCAGAAAAAATAATTTCTTCAACTTGTTTTTTTGGCAATAAGGTAGCTTACATGACGAAATTTTATTGACAAATAATAAGAAAAAAAATTAAGAATGTATTGGGCGATCCGCAGCTGAATACACTCCTGTATACGTCTAGGCATCGACAAAATGAGATGATCGATGTCTGCTTGTGGCAAGTCATTCCAAGCAACTCGAACTTCATGGATTAGCTGTGGCAGAATCTGTGGCGGTTGGTGCAAAGTGGATAGTCTCCTCCCCATCATATCCGATGAACGACAAAACATAAACGCCTGCTTGCTGAAAAAGGTCATGTGGCCGGCTCTCTAGATACGGCAGTAAAGTGGTTTGTAGAACATCATCAACAAAACGTGCATCAGTCATTTTGCCTTGAACAAAAATAAGGGGTAATCGGCTATTATAGGCAACACCCAACCATTACTCCAACAGTCCTGTGTACATGCCTCTCAATAGCAGATCTTATATCACGTCGTGCTCCACAGCCACATCTTACCCTTCTACGATCATCGTGCATTCCTTATGCCATACTGCCTCCCAATGTTGCCGTTCTCTGCTCCAGTTCAAATATTGAGGACAGTGGTCCGCAGTCAGAGGAAGCGCTAACCGTGGACGGTATGAAAAAAGTCCAAAGGCTCGAATACGGCTATAGAATATATTCATAGTAGCAGATCTACCTTCTTCTCAAAACCGTTGGTCAGTGATCGAACGCGTAGTAGCAAAACAGTCTCGTAGAGCTAGCGGTCTGAAGCGCCCATCTTGACGCTCTGTGGTACGCCTCGGTAAACCAGTTGGTATTCTTCGTGTTCATCTACCTTCTTCTATCCACACACGACGCACACGCATTGCCGTCATTGTAGTACAATTAACACGGCGGCCAATTTCGTGATAGGACAAACCATCTCGATAGGCAATAATTCTACCCCTGTCAAAGTCGCTAACATGGTGATAATTTGGACGTATTCGAACTCGAGGCATTTTGTTGTGCTTAACACTAGTAAATGAAAGGGCAATAACTAAAGATATTTGTACTACTCAGCTCTCAAAAGCTGTTTTCTTCACAAAAACTATGAGATAACATTTTAACAAAGGTAAACAATAACAAAGATAAAACGTTGATATTGATGTCACAGCAAGCTTTAAATAAAGTCATTATGTTGCCAAAAAAAAGAAGTTGAAGAAATTATTTTTCTGGGTGTAACATTTATAATGTCACTGAGTATATTATACCGGGTATAGCACAGCTCTGTATTTTTCCAGTCCATGTTTTTTAAAAGGGTCACTGTGAGTTATTTACTAACTTTGTATAAGAAGTTCAACGGCGACCCTGGGGCTGAACTTAAGCCTCACCGTAAAGGTTATTTCAAGGACAACATTTTTAATAGTAATAGAAAGAACGTGTATTTAAGAAAATTTTATTTGGGAAAATTCCTGGAAGTTTAGCTGGATTATTGATGAAAAAGCTCAAGGTTGGCCATCAGCAACTTTGAACAAAGCTTGAATTTTACTTTGACCCTCACCTTCAAGGTCATAGTAGTATATGAGATTGTCGGTGTCAAAGACGGGCATACCCAGTTAAAAGTAAAGCTTACCTTGAGATGACTTAGAAGGTTTAAGTTTAAACCGTTGAAATACTAAAGTTATTAAAAGATGCATTGATCAATTATTGTAAATATAAGATATGGTTTTTGTAACTTTGACAAAATAGCGGACCTACCCTCATCTGTCATGAGCCATAATCGTTTGGGAGCAAGCCAGAAAGGTGAACAGGACATTCATAATTCAAAAAAAACTGAGATTAATTTTTAACATACCTAGGCGTGAATCAAGAGTCATCGTCTACTACCTAACACTTCCGGCAATCTACATCTTTAGCTACGCTCCATATGCATTCCGCAACAAATGTAGGTTTGTTGAAAATAAAGATATAAATGTTCGTTACAACACAAGAGCTGGCGTGCATTTGAGTATAATACATCACATGCAACAATGTTCGAAAAATCACCTGAATATGCCTGTATAAAAGTCTATAATAAGCTTCCCTCTGAGCTTAAAAAACTTCCGAGAGTAAGTAAATACTTAAAAAGGCATGAGGAAGTATTTTCTGAAGCTGTGCCCGTGCTCAATAACAGATTAAGTTATTCAATCTTTATTATTTACATTTCTATCAGTTATTCTTTAATTTTAGAGGATTATACTAATACTATCAGTACTTTATGTTTATATGTGCATGCGTATTTTTTTACTTTACTTATGTATTTATCCCAGTATTTCTTAACATGTAAATATGATCAAAAGACATATACACACATACTTTTGGGATTCCCTCATATAAAAAAGTGAATCTCAGAAAATATGATGTTTTGTTTAAATATAATGATTTATAATGATCTGCGAATATTTTGAGGTGTGAATCTACGTGAAAAATTAATGTCAATTTGCTTTATAAAGTATGGTCCAAAAATGTTTCCTTACAAAAACTCGGGGTGTTGAAGTTTTAGGAAAAAAAAGGAAATTAATTAATATTTTCAGAACCGCTTCAGATATTTCACTAATATTTACTACGTAGTGAAATTTAAGAAAGTTGCATATTTTTCAATGCAAAAATAATTTTTAGCTTTAACAGTGGCGTGCGTATGTGTATTAACTTCGATATTTTTAATAAAAAAATAGTATGCCAATAGTTTTTGACAAATAAAAATTATTTTTGAATTCCCCGTTCAATTTAAATCAAGTGATCTCTCGTGAGTTGCTTTCTTTCGATGCGCCATTTTTGAGTAAAAAAGTAAAAACCGTTCTATTGTCTGTGCAAAATTATTATTAATTTAATTGAAAAAATTAACTGACAACATAAACATAACGTTAAAAGAAACAAAACGATTACAAAAATTGTTGAAAATGGCCCCCTTCACTTAGTATGCATGCTTTCGCCCTCCTTCTCATGGAATTGCGCACTCGTTGAAATATCCCTGGAGTGTTTTTTATTCAATCAGAAGCTGGAACTATTCTTTCTCTTAATTCCTCTACAGTGTTAATGGGACTTGTGTACACTAGTGTCCTAAGATAGCCCCACAAAAAGAAATCTAAACTGTTGAGATTTGGGCACCTTGGTGGCCAATCTTGGGGCCCACCGCAGCCAATCCAACGATTTGTAAATAATTACGAACCGCTACCCTGAAATGCGCTGGTGCACCATCATGCATGTACCACATATTGTTTCTTATTACTAACGGTACATCATCAAGCAGCAAAGGCAACTGTTGTTGAAGAAAATTGAGGTAAGTCTGTCCGTCAAGTGGTCCCGGCAAGAAGAATGGGTCCTTAAAGTGGTTACCAATAATTCCTGCCCATATGTTAACCGAAAATTAGTGTTGGAAATGGGTTTCGGTTACGGCATAGGGATCTTCTTCTGCCCACAAATGATTATTGTAGAAATTCTTAATGGCACTTCGAGAAAAATTTTCTTTGTCCGTGAACAAAGTCATTGATTCAAATTGCGGATTTTGTGTAATTTTTTGAAGCTACCACTGACAAAAGGTCACACGCTTTGGAAAATCAATAGGAAGTAATGCCTGTACTCTTAAAATATGGTAAGAATATAACAAAAAATCCACTAAAATTCTCCAAACAATTTGATGGCAAATATTTAAGTATCCAGCGATCTTCGTACTCGTTTCAGGATGTTCTTCAACTTCGAGCAGCACTGCTTCCTTAATTTCAGGTGTTCTCACACTTAGAGGTCTACCTTCATATATGTATGTTCCTTTTCGAACAGAACCAGTTTCACCAAGACGACGATGAATATTAGAAAAGGTTCGACTATCTGGCAAAGCACGATCGGGATATCTCTGGTGATAGATCCATCTGGCTTGCTCACCATTACCGTCGGCAAGGCCATAAACGTAATGCATCAATTGGTGCATCATTTTTTTCTTAAAAAATTTCGAAGACAATACCCGTACCCACGCCACTGTTGAAGCTAAAAATTATTTTTGCATTGAATAATATGCAACTTTATCAACTTCCACCACGTACTAAATATCAGTGAAATATCTGAAGCGGTTCTGAAAATATTAATTAATTTCCATTTTTTTCTAAAACTTCAACACGACTTTTTGTAAGGAAACATTTTTGAAACATACTTTATAAAGCAAACAAACATTAATTTTTCATCTAGATTCATACCCTTAAATATTCGCATGTCATTAAGGAACACCCTGTATATTTAATTTTGAGGATACATGACAGCGTTACACAGGGAATGCAATGTCAACCTACTTGACGCCATTTTTTAGGTACGTGATTGTAGAAAACTTGCGATACATGCTGATGCCTTACAATTCCTCGGATCCGATATATTTTGGATGCAGATTTAAACCTTACGTAAACCAAGGGTATATGAGTGGAGGGGCAGGTTACGTACTGAGTAGAGAAGCTGTGAAAAGATTTGTAGAAGTAAGTCTTCTGGAAATTCTAATGACATTAATGGATCAACAAAACACAGTAAACAAATATGGTAGTATTGAAATTGAACTCAATTCGTTTAAAACATATTTAAATAATCGATCCAAAATTTTCCCATTTTCAAGACATTATATTTCAAGTACATTAAATATAAACACAGGGGCACCTACAGGACCAATATTATATCCGATCCCGTTGTTAGTCTATATCAATGATTTTATAAACTTAAACATAAATGATCAATTGCTAGTTTTCGCTAACGATACCACAGTACCTTGGAAAGACATATATAAATTGTATTGTTAATATGGCAAAACTTATGACATTTAAGTGCCCCTTGATTGCTTAAATTCAAATAATGAATTGATACACAAAACAAGCACCATCAGATTTTTGGGACCGACCATTGACCATAAATTAATTTTACTAATCATGTGGAAAAAATGCTTACTCAACTAGAATAAGTTTCCTTTATTATAAGAACAATTAGGTGCAACGTAGGAAAAAGCACAGCATTAAGCAGACATTTTACCTTATTTGAAAGTAGATTGCGATATAAAGGGTGGGCCATCCGTTGGCTTCTTTTCTAAATTGGTATTAAAACTACACTCTTCAATAATATGTAACACTCGATACTTTATTCAAAGGAATACACCTATCGATTATTTGTGAAAAACGATCTAAGTTTAATGGCTGCCGCGGTTAACCCAATTTTGAAGCACATTTTCGATAGTTGTGGGTCTATTTCATCAATAGCTCGACGGATATTTTCCTTAAGAACATCAATTGTTCGAAGATCGTTAGTGTAACAGCGGTCCTTAACAGTACCCCATAAAAAGTAATCCATGGGCATCAAATCACAGCTGCGGTCTGGCCAATGAAAGTCTCCAAAACGGCTGATAACGCGATGACCGAACTTAGTGTTTAAAATATCGATTGTTTGACGGCTGGCGTGGCATGTTGCGCCATCCTGCTGGAACCAGAGATTGTTCAAGTGCATGTCGTCCAATAGTTGACACAAAAAATCTCCATAGCGTTCCCCGTTTACCGTCGTGCTGTTACCATCTTCATCTTGAAGAAAGTAGGGACCAATAATCCCACCACCCCAAAAGCCACACCAAACAGTTACTCTTTTTAGATGCATTGGTTTTTTCTATGACGCATGTGGATTTTCAGAACCCCAAATCCTACAGTTCTGCTTGTTAACGTGACCTCCTAGATGGAAATGGGCTACGTCCGAAAAGATGATTTGGCGACCAAAATTGACGTCCGTTTCCAATTGATCTAGAGCCCACACAGAGAAACGATATCGAAGCGGATGGTCATTTAATATAATAATATAATAATAATAATTCCATTGAATTCTTGTCTCAAATACACTTACTTGAGATTCAAGGCTAGAAATTAGCTGCGCAACCACTTTTTCTTATCCATTCTGGAAATTACATATGCAAATTTGCTGAATTTCAAGAATGAGAGAGATAAGAAACAATTATATTCTCTGTACACTGTCGAATTACAAGTCATATACATGCTAACAGTAATTACACACAAAGCGGGCGCGATGGTGATTTTTTGTAACTCTTCTCAAAGCTTTTGAAAACACAAAAGAAAAAAACTGGAAAAATCGTAATGTATAACTTTGAACATAACCTCTCTTCAGAAAGAACAACACAAATAACCCATCTGGCACAGCTAACAGATATACTTCATTGGCAGCATAGTCAGTAATAATTTTCTCACACAGCAAGTATCACATCTGATACACATGCAAATCAATACAATCATCCAGATGCGATCTCGCTACTCAAGCAAACACATTTTGAACTCTACAATTTGTAATCTACAAAGTGGCTGTCTGCAACCAACAATGCATACTTGTAAAGAGACGTTCATCGTTCATTCATTCCTCCAAAGATGGACGCTTTGGATCGCACTCACAACGATACTAGTGACCGAACGTGGAATGACAGTTTGCACCCTTAAAGCTACCTAGTCTGCAAGATGACATCTTATAGGTTTTTTGACATTTTATAGGTTTTTTACACAGGGTGGCGCATCGAAAACGAAACAGACGCATTTGCTGGCAGCTGAGTTTTTTTTGGAAAAACGCTCAGACCCTTCGATTTTGTTTTCGAGCGGGGACACGAGTTTGGCAAAAAATCACGTTAACACGTGCAGCCCCCTGGGCGGGGGTCACACCAACCCTAAGATCTTAAATGGAAAGGGGAGTCGAGTGAAAGCTTATTTTAAAAGTCTTTCAATTCCCTTTATAACGATGTAAAATACATGAGCTTCAGTTCAGTATTTTTGAAGATTTATTGATTTAAAGCTTAAAGTAGACTTTAATGGGTACATCAGATTAGTTTGTACTACTTTCAGAAGAAATTTGACTAAAAGAATTTACTTAATCAGTAAATGATTTTCTTCACTACGCCCATAGTTTGGTTATCATTTTGTTGTTGAAAATAGCTATTGGAGCGTTTTTTTGTGTGTGTGCGGCAACGTTTTGGGCAAAATCTTTATTATTGCATGGAGAGTCATTGTGGCCATTTTCAACATTTACTTGCCTAACGGTTCATTTTTAAATTACTTTGCTGCCAAATGTATTGATCTCCACTAATAATGATGTATTAGTTTTATTTAAGCTTTAAATCAATAAATCTTCAAAACTACTGATCTGAAGAACATTAATTTTATATCATTATAAAGGGAATTTATTTATTTATTTATTTATTTATTTCCAACAGGTGAAACCCAATTACAGGAAACGCTGAAAAAAAAATAGCAATTAAAGAGACATGGTTCTTGGACTTAAATCTATAGTATCACACATTCTAAATAAGATTGGATGATCTATAACAGTTAATAATCGTTGCACAACTGTCACTGTAAATATCACACGATTCAGTAACACTGTTCATGATGCAGCACATGAAATTAATTGGCGATTTTGTCATAACATTTGTACGGCCAGCTTGACAATAGAATGCCATTTGTTGTCGACTCCCTAGCCTTGGAACGCGGAAACATATTTTTTCAAGTAAATTTTGACAGTCAATTTTGTTGTGAATGAGGCCATACAAAAACGACAAAGCAAATATGTTTCGTCTTGTTGACAGTGAATCCAAATTGAAAGACTCTAATAGGGCACTATGGTCACAACCTCTTTCTGGATAAGAACCTGTGCATTTAAGGTGAAAATACTTTAAAGCTTTACGTTGAATGGCCTCAAGGATCACGACAGAATTTTGGTATATAGGAGACCAGATCAGAGTTGCATACTCCAACTTGCTCCTGACAAAAGTAAAAAATAAAGTTATTAATGTCTCAACACTGGAGAAACCCTTCCAGTTTCTGATACAGAAACCAAGTAGTCTAGTGGCAGCCGACAAGATATTGAGTATGTGCTCAGTAAACGTTAGCTTGGTATCAAATATGACTCCAAGGTCTCTATAAGAGGTGCATCTGTCTATAACCTGACCATTGATGTTATAATTATCATAAATTAAATAGTTCACTTTTCTTGTATAAGTCATAACTTTACATTTCGAAACATTCAGACTGAGACAGTTTCGTGAACACCATGATGAAATTAGAGCTAAGTCATCTTGCAACATGACGCAATCCTCGACTGTCTTGACTGACGTGCAGATTTTGAGGTCATCAGCGAAAAACAAATGGAAACACTTCAGTTCAAAAGACAAGTCATTAATAAATACTAAAAACAATAATGGACCTAGATTTGACCCTTGAGGTACCCCAGACGTGGCCCGATAGTAACTGGACCTATGACCACCATATTCGACAAATAACCTTCTATCCCTCAAATATGAATTCATGAGCGACAGCATTGCATCAGACATACCCACTGTTTTAAGCTTATCCAGAAGTGCATAATGATCAACTTGATCAAAAGCCTTCTGAATAACTGTGTAGATGACATCAACTTGTCCCTGACCGTCCAGTACTTCAGAAATGTATTGAGTAATTAGAGCCAAGTTGGTGACCGTAGATCTGCCTCTCATAAACCCATGCTGATTAATAGAGACTGCACCCCTGACCGAGCAGTAAACCGTTTCATAAGCGATGATCTCAAACAACTTGCTGAAATTGCACAGGATTGCTATTTGGCGATAGTTGGAAATATCAGAGATATCTCCACTTTTGTGAATAGGACATATTTTAGAGGTCTTCCAGATATTTGGATATGTCTCTGATTTTAGAATTAGGTTGAATATGGAAGCCAGCGGTTTCGCTAGTATATGAATGCAATCTTTAACGAAAAAACTTGGAATACCATCACATCCAGACGTCATTTTGTTCTTTAATCTTTTCGAAGCCCTAATTACGTTTTCTTCACTTATATCTTTTAAAGAAATGATATCGGTAGAATTATTTGTTGGAGGAGATGACCCTAGTACACCAGACGGGATAAAAACTGTTGAAAAGAAGGTAGCAAAACTGTCCACTATATCCTGAGGCGTATCGCAGACATTGCCGTTAAGCGTCATCCTGGGGGGGATTCTAGATTGCTGTTTTTTGATCTGGGCAAATGACCAGAATTTGCTAGGATCATTGACAATGGCATCCTCAGCCGATTGGACGTAAGCGGAGTAGGCAACACTGATCTGGTTCTTAATGAGCTTCCTAAAATTACTGAACTGATCATAAGAAAGCTTAGTACCGTCACGTTTCCAGTTCCTTCTTGCTATGTCCTTCTTCTTGATATTAAGTATAATTTCACGTGTGAACCATGGGGGATACGAAAACATTTTATTTTTACATTTAGGGACATGGACCTCAAAGATGTTATTTATAACTGAATACAAGGCGGTACAAGCGACATCAACATTAACTGCACTGATCACCTCCGTCCAATTAACATCTTGCAAGGCTGTGTACATTTCAGGAAAGTTAGCTTTGCGAAAGTTAAACCGTGGAGAATTAGCAAATGGGAATTTCTTTGGAGATCCGGATGTAATGAATTCCATGATCAGTGCAGGATGATGAACGTCCTCTTTAACAGAAGGTGTATTATCTCTGAGGACTTCTATTTCGATATTTCCTAAAACTAAATCCAGAATTCGACCATTTATATTTGGAATATTATTAAAGTTAGTCAAATCTAAAAACGAAATAAAGTTGCTCATTAATTGAGACTTCTGATCATTAACGTCACTGTTGAATGATGCGACATTAAAGTCACCAGCAACAATTATTTTACAATTACTGAATGCATTGTTAAATACTTCCAAAGCTTCAAGGTACTGACTAAACATGTCCAAATTAATTGAAGGCGGAATATAAATAGAAAAGATAACAAAATGCTCATGGTTAATAATAAGCCTAATACATACAGTATCAATCGACGGAAAGTTTCGACTCAAAGCACTAGCGTCAATTCTAATTGCATGGAAATCGCGTTTTATGGCTATCAGGACTCCTCCGCCGGAAACTAGGCCAGATCGAATAAAGTCACGATCACACCTGAACACACAGTATTCAGCCGGAAATAATTCACTATCACTCACATTCACAGACAGCCCCGTCTCAGTCAAGCAAATTAAATCAAATTCGTAGTCACTGACTGCATTGAAGAATGACACCGTCTTAGAATTGAGACCACGAACGTTCTGGTAGGAACACCTTAGCTTAAGTCTCTCATGACAATTTGGTCTATTATTGGGTTCAGTTATGCGTTTAAAGTAACAATCTTCGGAACCCCATTGAAATATTTAATTCTGAGGTTACTTTCACCTTGCGCGATCCTTTCATTCAGTTTGCTTGAATTGAAAGACCTTTCAAATAAGGTATCACTCGACCCCCCTTTCCATTTAATATTTTGGGGGTGGTGTCCCCCCGCTTAGGGGGCTGCACGTGCTAAAGTGATTTTTTGCCAAACTTGTGTCCCCCTCAAAAACAAAATCGACGGGTCTGAGCGTTTTTTCAAAAAAAAAACTGAGCTGCCAGTAAATGCGTGTTTCGTTTCCGATGCGCCACCCTGTATTATAGCCGTGCGGTTTCTAAGAAACCACTGATTACATTAAGATTCGGAAAAACCATATAACTTCCATTTAGCAAGTCGTACACGATGATTCAGAGTATCGAATGCTTAGTAAAATCAAGACGTGCTAGTAGTGTTATCATGTGCTGATCCGTTAGTGAAATGCCTGATATTTCATTTAGATTTCCTTGAGAAATGCAACAGGTTGCAGAATACACGAAAACTATGGTCCTGAAGACCTCGAAATAGGAAGATGTCTTGAGTCTGCACAAGTAAAAGCGGGTGATTCTAGAGATTCTCTGGGGAGGAATAGATTTCTGCCACTTTTTCCACAACGTCATCTGATTCCTGGTGAAATGTGGGAGGAGACCCCTTGGTACTGGATCTATATGTATTACAAAGGTGAAGAGGTATGTACAAGAATTACCAAGTTACCAGTTATTCAATTCATTTGAAATGCATGCGAAAATAAGCATATGTATACCGTGACATCGTCAACAGCTATACCGCGTGTTTAAAATTCGACTCTCACCAGTGGGATCTCGGAAACTGTAAGAAATACAAAGTCGGTTAACCGAGGGCAAAGCTGTGCATTTAGGTAACAAAGTAAATGGCACATAGAAAGTTTTGCAATTCCGAATATTTCTGGAGATAAGCCAAAGAAACCGATTTTCCCGAAATCGTTTTTATTTTTTTCCTGGCTTGGTAAGACTATACTTTAGCGCAAATCGCAAATATTTGGATGTAACTTTCATGAAAATATCATTTTTTCTTTAAGGAACTGTCTGCTTGCTATTTTATAGAACTTCAAAGTTGCATTTTTGGTGGTATTAATCTAGACTGTTTTATACGCTGTTTTTTGGCGTTTTGCAACAGAAGTTGCATATAAAAATACATAATAGTTATTTATCGATCATTTAGCCACCATATGGTGTTTCCAGGGAGCACCACGTGCAGGCGATCGATAATCATTCCCCAATCCCTTCAGTAACTCATCATTAGGGATTCACCTTGAAAAAAGCGATTTTTGATTTTTTATTAGAAGCATTTAGCACGGATAATCAGATCTTAGTGCATCTAATAAAAGCGCGAATATATCAATTCCGCGAACGCGACAGTGCCTACGCCACAGATATTCGCAGAGAGCGTCTGCAAATTCTTCGGCAGGCACAAGTCGGCTGCGGAAATAATCTTTGGCTGGCCTCCAGGTCGCCTCTATCCGCTGGGTGTTGGTGCCGACAGGAGCTGAAAGATAAATAAATATATTTGAAACATTGTGTATATACATACATATCTAGGTGGAATAAACAAATGTAAATAACATACCAACAAAGCGGTTTTCGGGGTCAGAATGGTTCACAACCTTGTAAACATGCCCCGCTGCCCTCAACCCATTATATACCCTCCACATATCCGTATGGATCTCGGATCCGGGAAGAAAATATTGCTGAATTATGGCGATGAGCGTCTCGGCATTCCACCATCCTGACGTCTTCTCTTCCCGATTTTTCGATAATCCCTACAACCCAGTGGTCTTCGACGTTTCGCCCTCGATTTCACGCGCGCTTGCCAAACTTTGATTCCTCGATTTGGACTACTGTTCCAGATCCACCCAACAACTCATCGTCTAGTATTATTGTTAAAAAATGATCAACAACCATTTCTCGACAATATTTGTACCTAATAAATGTATCTTATAACATAGATATACTTAAATAAATTCATAGCTAGCATACCAGAATGCAATGGTAGGTGGAAAAAGATGTTGTTCGGTACAAGGATTACCTATTTCGTGGGCAGCGTCACTATAGCTCCACCCTCTGATGAAATTGTATATAAGTCTGTAAAAAAAGTCAATAAGATACAATTACAATTTTTACAAGCATTATAATCGTCAGATTATAATTTGTGAACTTTTTTTTTATATTTATACTGGTTAAAATACAATCATCAAGCTTATTCAATAATTCTTCAAGTCCAAACATACTAAAAAGAAATGAATTATAATGTAATATTGGAGAAAAACTAACCGAAGCACTTTTGAGAAGGGGATTCGACATTCTTCAAAAAAAGTGCCATTGGATATACAGGGTGTAAACGTTATGGTAGTCATTATTGAAATGGGTAATAGGAGGGGTCAAAACAAGTCAAAAAGTTCATATGACCCATAGTCCAAAAGTCAATAGATTTTTGTCTAAATGGCTTTATAGTTTACAACTTTAAGTGCTTTATATCGACCACAATCACCACAATCTCACTAATTTTTATAATCTAATCTAAAACCTTTTTAAATTGGGTAATTAACAAATAAATAAGTTAAGCCAAAATTTGTAGTCCGTAAGTAAGTTTCATTAAACTAAATATTTAAAACACACATGACAACAGCGCATCGTCATCAGTCTTATCGAACCGGCAATCGATCGCAAAAGGTAACAGTGGTTAGTTATCGGGCATCGTGCGTGTTTTTTTTTTGTTCCCGTGCGTCGTCGTGTTTTATTTACAATGTTCTCGAAACAAGAGTTCGCCGACATGTTGTTAGTTTGCGGCGAAGCTCGTCAGAATTCAAATAAATATTCAGAATTCTTTGCAGAATACAAATATTGAATAAAATGTATAGTATTCCACAAGAAAAACAAAAGTTGCTATCAGTTTCTGAAAAACTATATGTTTGGCAACATCGCGGATATCATCAACTAATCCGCCGTGGTTTCGCACCTAAACCTACCAATTTGAAAAAAAAATAGATGAGTCATTCATCAGATATTCTATGCGTTCCAAACTTTTGTTACAGTCTATACCTATATGTATATAATTGAATTCATAAATATGGCTGTGTGTTGAGAATTTTTCTTTATTTTTAAAAATATATAAACGGGTTTCCAATATGTATGAACAAATAAGTGTTAGTACTTTGAATCTTAAATTCTTTTCTGTTTCATGGATACATCCCTTCAATTAGTAGATATCCCCCAAAATGATATGCCATATCTTATGACCGAGTGAACCTGTGCATGATATAAACTAATTAATTGATTTGATGGTAGAATATCTCTGAATTTGAATGATAGATTAAAATTTGAAGTTTTATAATACCAATCCATGTCAATATGCCGGGTGACCCAATATTAAAGACCCAGAGCCATCCGTTAAAAATTGCAAAGCGGCCAAGGAAAACTGTTGGAAATTATTTTCATCTTCCAAAAATGCCCACTAGGGACCGTATTTCGAATTTCAAAAACTCAAACGCCATTATTTTTGATTGCTTGATTTTTAAACTTTTTTCTCAACGTAATTTTTCCATATTTTGTTGCGTTTAGGGGGAATGGTTGAATGTCATTTCAGATAAAGTAATATAACTTATCTTTGACTGCACTGATTTTCAAGATCTTGATTTCATCCGAAAGAGCTTCCTTCTACTCGAGGCTCAATCTTGTCAAATTAGTACACTATGTGGCCACTAGTCAGCCTTTTATGGATGTACGTATCACCGCTTTTTTCAATATTGTTTTTTTTAATTTCAAATTGCCCGGAAAGAGTATAAAAAATCCTATGACATGGTGAAAACCGCAGATCGATATCTTTATTTGTTATGGAAAAATATACTTAATTGACAATTTTCAAGCACTACTGGATAAAAAGAAAAATCAAGCTATAAATAGTTATGTAAAATGTATCAATATGATGCAACTTCTAGATATTTTACTTAAAAATTTATTTTTACGCCTTTTAGAACCTATAGGGGTCGTAAGTGTCGCCTGATGTATGAAAAAAGACATCCTTCAATTAAACCTCATATTTTAACTCAAGAATCCTTGGCTCATGATGTACAATTTCAAGGCCTACTTAGGAAAGTCTGTTTTTTATAAAAGGTGGGCCATCAGTTGGTTTAATTTAAGTTGGTAACATTTTGACAGTTTTTAACACTTCCATGCTCAGCATATTGACAGATATATTGTGTCAAACTTCCGCTACGAACAATGGATCGTTTTAATCTTGAACAAAGCTGGGAAATGTTGAAAAACTATTTTCAAAGTGAGTGCTACGTTGCAGAAACTTTGCGAAAATTGAGAAGACTATTTGGTCGGAATGAAGCTTCGTCCGCGACTGGTATACGAAAATTCTTAAAGAAGGCTTGTGACACTGGCCTGCTTGTGAATAGCAGAAGGTATGAGCGTGTTCGACCCGAAAACATTGATGCTGTTGCCCAGAATGTACTTGAAAACGCAAGAATGTCAATTCGCCACAGAGCACCACAAGTGGGCATCAGTCGCATTTCTGTGCGGATAATATTGCATAACGACCTGAGATTATTTCCTTACAAGGTGAAACTTATGCAAGAGTTGAAACAAAATGACCATCCGCTTCGATATTGTTTCTTTGTATGGGCTCTAAATTAATTGAAAGTTGACGTCAATTTTGCATCCGAAAAGAGTAACTGTTTGGTGTGGCTTTAGGAGTGGTGGGATTATTGGTCCCTACTTTTTTCAAGATGAAGATTGTAACAGCGCAGCGTGACGGTAAACGGGGAACGCTGTAGAGATATGTTGAGGAGTTTTTTGTGGCCACTATTAGGCGACATGCACTTGCACAATCTCTGGTTCCATCAGGATGGCACAACATGCCACACCAGCCGTGAAACAATCGATCTTTTTCACACGAAGTTCGGTCATCGCGTTATCAGTTGTTTTGGAGACGTTCATTGGCCAGCCCGCAGCTTTTGACGCCCACGGATTACTTCCTATAGGGTACTGTTAAGAACCCCTGTTACACTAACGATCCCTAAACAATTGTTGTTCCTAAGGAAAATATCCGTCGAGCTATTGATGAAACCGACCCACAAACTATCGAAAATGTGCTCCAAAATTGGGTTAAGGGTATGGACTACTGCCAGCCCAGCCGCGACAGATATTTAACTGTAATTGTTTTTCATAAATCATCCGAAGGTGCATTCTTTTGAATAAAGTATCGAGTGTTACATATAACTGAAGAGTGTTGTTTTAATACCAATTTATAAAAGAAACCAACGGATGGCCCACCGGTTATATATTAGGTTTGGTGATGTCGATATATGTCACCACGTACGTTTTTAAAATCAGAATAAGGCTGGGCGCATACATTTATTCTCCGCGTTCGACTTCCGAATAAGTTTTCCGTATTCGGAGGCCCGAATGCATCAAACGCTAATAAAATACATTGACTGTCGCACATGCTCGTTTTTTTCCGAACGGAACACATTCCGTACGGACGTTTCGGAAGCCAGCCCATGCAGTGACGTGCGCAAGTTTTCAAAGAGGTTATACAGGATTTGAACTCGTGCACAAAAGTGGAAAAAGAAAACAAGAGTAAAATTAATTTCCTTTAACTTTTATTACAAAGACTATTGCCTACTATACCTTTATTGTTGTAATTGGTAATCCTTTCGTTATATAGGTAGGTATGATATTTCTCCTGCCGGCGTCATGAAGTACTGAGCAAACTCGTCTCTTATGCTTCGGCCTCGGTTTGTAGATCTATGTTGTGTAGGTATCCAGAGATAATCTCATCCAGGTATCTTGCTTCCTTAATTTATCACGTACGCCATAATGGAGTTCATCGAAAGATTGTATAGACATCCTGTAGAAATCAAAGAATTTATTTGGATGTGCCCGTAACTTTGCTCTTTTTAGATAAAATGGACTCTCGTAGATTCTCCGACAGTTTAACGGATGCACCCAATACCGACGTTTCTTTTTCTTCTTTTTTGATAATGATAATAGAAGTGCAATCGCAGTTAAATCGCCCAGCATTCACAGAGCCGCCACTGAACGTACTGGTAATATAATATTCACTTCAAAAAAATTGAACGTTTGCGCTAGGCTTACGGAACTCCGAATTGGAAGTCCTGATTAGGAAACCGGATACGGAAAACGAATGTATGCCCCCATCCTTAAAATCTCTGTTCAACTGTGCAAAGTCGATATGACAACTATAAGAAAAAATAAATTTAATGACTGAGAGCAAGAGACGAAACGTCATATTGAAATGTTAATCATGCCACCTCACGGAGGAAGAAAAAGTGACAATGTTAATGTACTTTTTTATTTTGAAATCCCATCTCAAATAAAGCCATCAATAAACAAATATGGGCTATTTAGGGTAGAATCGCTTTTTCCCGATTTTACCGACTTTGTATCTCTTACCGTTTCCCCAATTGGAGACAGTCTAACTTGAAACACCCGATATACGTGTCGATGGCCATCTGTAGGTGTCAGTGTTGCCACCTTTGGTTCACGCATGTTTTAGGATTCTTCTGTCGTCAACAAAACCTTTGAGTACGTGAAATCTTGGGAGTAATTACAAAGGAGGGTAAGGAGTCATCTTTCCTAGAAAGGTTAATGTTATGTTTACGAATAATTAATCTTCTTTAAAAGAATTATTGCGATACCACTCAGCAACGTGACTGTGGCGATGGAAGTTCCTTTTTTATATCGAAGCAGCCGCGCAGCCAGAAGACTAAAGCCGGAACACCGCGGCTGCTATAATGATCCCAAAGAAATTCTGTGTGAACGTTAATGCTATTGCACAAAAATTTGACATAACATTTTACTTCCTAAGCTAAAACTGGCGAGGAAGTATTGTAGAGGGAAAAACTTCGAAATTCAGGTATTATGCCTTTTAAATGTTATATGTCATGTATGGTTTATCTGAAGTCACTTGAAATAGCATAAAAACCTTTGGTCGGCGTGTCCTTTGTAATTTCATGACGTATCATAGGCGTGCGGTTATTTATTTAGAACGATAATAATAATGTTTTTATATCACAATAAATAGATTTTACTATCTTCTTATTTTTTTGATTTGGGATAAAAAATACTTATATTGGGAGTTTAATTTATGTTGACTGAAAGTTAAGAAATGGAAAAATTACAGAATTCCAACGTTTGACATAGGCAAATATTTACATAGCAGGTAGGTATATAAAAAGGTATATAAAGACTTACATTATAGGTATTTATATATCATACTCGCCTTCGGAGCTGTCGCTAGAGTCATCTTGTAGAGGAATTACAACGGGATTTACAGGAGGCCAAACACAATATACATTTTCTTTTTCAATAATATGCCTAGAACACTGATTCCATAGGTCTGTGGCAGCAATATGAGATACTGCATCTCTTATTGTGGCCAATAGCGATTCACTTAATTGAGGGGTCTGATTATGTTTTCTTACTTTTTTTTTAAAGCAGCCCAGACCAACTCAATCGGGTTAAAAATGCAGTAATAGGGAGGTAGACGTAATACTTCATGGCCATTTTGCTGAAGCAGATTGTCAACAACATACTCTTTTTCAAATTTTTGTCTTTTAATAAGATCCAATAATATGGCTTTGATTGATTTTTGTGGTATTTCCATTCCCTTATCCTTCATAAAATCAATAATGTCTTGTTTTTTTGTGCCTGTATTCGGAATTTTGTTTTTCTGTCGGGAATGGTATGGCGCATTGTCCATAATAATCACTGAATTTGGGGAAATGTTTGGTATTAACTGCTGCTCTATCCACTTTTCAAATAAGTCGGAGGTCATGTCCTCATGATAGTCGGCACATGATTCTTTGATACTTTTGGCAGATAACAGCAAGGCATTAGGTATAAATCCATTTTCACTGCCAGCATGGAGACTAATGATTCGTTTTCCACGGTTGCATGGTGCATTTAAAATGCACTTGTTGCTGTCGTCAACCCAGCCGTACTGCACAACATCATGGGTATCATACCACGTTTCATCCAGGTAAATCAGATTTCTTTTCTGCTCTCTATAGATTTTAACTTTGTGCAAAAATTCTTGGCGCAATTCAACGATTCGAGACGACTCCATAATCACCATTCTTTTATCTAATTTTTTGTATTGAAAACCACACAGTTTTACAATACAGTGCAGTGAGTCTAAGCATTTGTAATTATAAAAATCTTCAGGATAATCTTTTAATTTATCCCGTATCATTTCCAACGTGGGCACCAAATTTTCTTTATATAATCCGTATATTATACGACGAATATCTTCCTGAAAACTCACGTCTATTCTTTTTAATTTTTGCCCTATGCGCTTTCTGTGGAAGGAATGGTTGACTACATCTCCCCTTTTTATAACCCGATAAATGGTAGATCGACTGATTTTTGTCAGGATACAAATTCTGTTTAAAATTTGATTTTGCGAGGAATCTGGATTTTCGTTTTTCAGACAATCATACATATTTAGGATTACTCTTTGGGTCTGTTCCTCTAAATCTTTATGAAAGAATTCTGCCTGCACAGGTTCATCAACCATCTCCTCGTGGCTTGGAGCATTTTCCCAAGGTCTCCAAAGAGCCATATTTAGGACACACAAGAACAATCAACACAACAATTAAATCAACAAGTAAACTGAGTATTCAAAAGTCAAAAACACACAAACTAATAAAATGTATGAAAAAATACGGACAGACTAAAGAAAACACGTTTATTCACCGCTACACGGCACTGGCTAAACTGTTTCAATTTTCAGTAGCCACCTGCACTTGTTCAGAGCTCTGAAATACACGCTTTCTCATTGGCTATGTCCACGCATAGGCGTGCTTTACTCCACGTGGACCGGTGAAACTGCCTTTGATCTTATACGGGGGATATTTGCTGCGAAATTTGGCGATTTTTGCAGCAACAGAGCGTGTTAAATACAGATATATAAAACGCACCCGGTATTTCACAGTGTTTCAAGTGACTTCAGATAAAGTATACAAATATCACGAAAAACCACGTCACTCATTTCCGTCGGTCTGTTGTCTGTTGATCTGTCCGCTAATTTTATTATCGCCTATGATCTGAATGATGCCAATAATATATAGTTCTTGGAAATCGGTCTTGTGGTGGATAAGCTAGGAGCAAAAACACGAAATAAAAATCTGAAGTTCGTTTCTTCAACGTTTCAGTTTCGGAATTTTTTTTATGGGGTTGAACCTTCGTGGTTGAAGGCTGTAGGTTATAACTGTAACGTCGTTAGTATTGGTCAAAAGCTTTCTATGATTGAGAAGCTTCTGATCCCGGTAACAACGTGAAAATTAAATGATGGAGTCCAATGTATTGTAACAAGGATAAATAGTACTACCAGCGCCATCTGTTGGGAATCGCGCCAGTGACTCTCCTTCGATGCGAGACTGACACCGAGTGGTACTACGAGCGGCATCTGTTGGGAACCGCGCCCGGGGCTTTCCTTCGAGATTGACGAGAAGTAACATCGAAGAATCTGGACTGACGCTATGTGGCTTACTGGAACTTTCTCGAACTAACGAGTACATGTGATGCGGAATGTATAAGCCGACGCGACGGCCGGGAGAAGGAGGCAGGGTTGAGTGAATGGCGCGACATAATAATTCGTGAATAAGTAATCAGACCCAAATAGTGGTTTACATAAATGTTCTAGCTAGTTAAGTTAAAGTTAGTTGTGCTGTGTTTTAAATAAATTAGTGCATTTCTTCTTGTGGAACCGAGTGTTTTTAACCCATACTCAAAAGAAGCAGCAAAACGCTACAATATAGTGTACACAAGGTTTGAAATAACTTGGCACTAACACAGCGCTACAGAATAAATATTTATATAATTTACGAATATTTGGATATTAAGAACATCTTGGTACCACTTTTGTAAATGATGGCTCAACTGTTTTTGGTACCCAAGTTGAGCCTACCTAATCACGATTCGATTTCGCCTTTTCAAATGATTTGACTCGTCCCTTTTCTTTGGAACCTCCAACGAAAACATAAGAAGTATAGAGTCAATCTACCTGACGCAATTTTTTCCTTTTCAGGGAATGTGGTGTTGTTCAGACAATGCAGTATCTTTTCACTACATCGACCCAAATGAAATGTACGAACTGGAATATTTGATATACCATTTGAGGCCATACGGAATTTCTTTTAATATGGTAATGCCTCCCGAATTGCTTGACAAAGAGATAGATCAAACTTCTAGATCTGATAAATTAACTGTGGATGAAAATAGTCGTCTCATGATATATGATATCTAGTTTTATGTATTTTACTGTCTGTAATGTTTTTAGCTCATCAGTAAATGTTGTAGATCAAAATGTATTTTGTCTAACATAAACCTAACGGAAAATAAAAATGACGTGTTGACCATAATATGCTCAACGACATTAGAAATGTTACACCCAGAAGAAATAATTTCTTCAATTTGATTTTTTGGCAATGAGGTAGTCTTACATAAAGAATGAAACGCATTTTCACGAAATTTTATTGACAAGTAATAAGAAAAAATATGTTGGTCGACCCCGCGGCTGAATACACTCCTGTATATGTCTAGGCATCGACAAAATGAGAGAAACAGGACGAATGGACGGCCATCTAGATTCGGCAGTACAGTGGTTTGTAAGACGTCATCATCATATAGCGCGGCAGTCATATTGCCTTGAATAATGTGACGGGGTGATCGGCTACCATAGGCAATAGCCCCCCAAACCACAAGCCATTACTAAAACAGGCCTGTGTACATGCCTCTTAATAGCAAATCCAATATCACACCGTTCTCCACGGCGGCGCCTTACCCTTCTACGACCATCGTGCGTAACTATGCAGAATCGCGATTCGTCGCTTAAGTTGACATTATGCCATTCTGCCTCAAAATGTTTTCTGTTCTCTGCTCTAGTTCAACAGTTGGCGAGAGTTGTCCGTAGTCAGAGGAAGCACTAACCGTACATGATATGAAAAAACTCCAAAGGCTCGAATGCGACGGTAGAGTGTACACATAGTAACAGGTCTACCTTCTTCTCCAAACCATTGGTCAGCGATCTGACGGGTAGTAGCAAAACGATCTCGTAGGACTAGTTGTCTGAAGCGCCTATCTTGACGCTCTGTGGTACGCCTTGGTGGACCAGTTGGCTTTCTTCGTGTTCCTCTACCTTATTCTATCCGCATACGACACACATGCATTACCATCATTGCTGCACAATCAACACGGCGGCCAATTTCGCGATAGGACAAACCAACATCTCGATAGGCAATAACTCTACCCCTGTCAAAGTCACTAATATGGTGATAATTTGGACGTCTTTGAACTCGAGGCATTTTGTTATGATTAACACTAGTAAAGGAAAGGGCAATAACTAAAAATATCTGTACTCAGAAACTGCTTTCTTCACAAAAACTAAGAGATAACATTTTCACAAAGGTAAATGAAAACAAATATAAGACGTTGACATTGTTGCCACAGCATGTTTGAAATATAGTCACTATGTTGCCAAAAATTAAGTTGAAGAAATTATTTTTTCTGGGTGTAACACTTCTAATGTCATGGAGCATACAACAACTAACATATGCTGTTTCATGAAGTATTTATCGTTTGCTGTAAATTATATGTTATATTGTGGATTTCTCAAAGGCATTTGATCGGATAAAACACCCCATTTTGCTTTAAAAAATGTATAAATTTGGGTTTTCTGAGGGCTTGTTGATATTTTTTGGTTCCGTAAAATCATCTAAATATGGTCCAAAACTACATTCAATTTACTTTGTAAGCTTATATATAAAAGTCTATTACCAACAGCGGGAAGGAATTTCATGTAGACTGTACCTTATTGAATTACTGACTATATAGTCAACGCCAAACAAAGTGGCGCGCACGTCATCAAGGTGGGTGTGTTGAAAAATTTACATTGTTGCCAAACTTTTTGTAAAATAATAAAATTTATTATTTACATATCTAGGTTTATAAGCAATATTAACCTCAAATGAGAACAAAAATAATAGTATAATAAAATTATAGATCTGTACTTGCATAATCATTAAGTATGACAATTATTGATCAGATGACACTATGAAACTACCATATTTAATTGATAGCTTAAAGGTACTGAATAAAAATCCAAATGGGGTCCTCCAAATTTTATGCATGGTATTTATTTTACAGAATTCATACAGAAAAATGCATTCTAAAATTAGGTAAGCTACTGGTGTAAGCTTTTTCTGTACAATAAAGTTAGTCGGAGTTTCTTTCTTCAGCGCTGTCTGAATCTGAATCTTCATCACTCTCAAAGTTGATTATTAAAGGTTCGATGTCTGGTCGATCAAAAATTCGTTCTCTTTCATACCATTTAAAAATTTCTTGCTCAGTATGTCGAACACTATTTTTCCACATGTCTGGGGTAACCGTTTGTAGAGCCTCGTTCCACATATCCAAACAGTCTTTTTCACTGTTACCATCTCTACCAATATGTCTGTTATAGTAACCTTTTGCTATGCCCCAAATTAACTCAATAGGGTTAAATATACAATGGTAAGGAGGCAGACGAAGAACTTTGTGCCCATGTTGTTCCGCCAATTCATCAATCACGTCTATTTTAGGTGGTTTGTTTCTAAAAAAGCAGTTATTTTAAGAATAGGAATAAACAAAAGAAATATAAACTGTCGACCAAAATATATATAATTAAGAAGCATTATGTACCGAGCAACAATACTCAATAGCTCTGTTTTAAACATTGTGTTTAAAAATGGTATGTTTTGATTTGCCAACCAGTCTTGGATATTTTTTTTTGTCCATGCATTGTTGGGCACTTTGTTCAATATCATGCTGTGATAAGGGGCGTTATCCAGTATAATCATAGATGGACTCTCCAATTTTTCTAATAACTGATGTTGAAACCATTTCAAAAAATTGTCCTGGTTCATCTCTCCATGGTAATCGCTCAATTTTGTTTTCGAAGAAAATATCGCTTCACTACCCTCAATAAACCCATTTTCATTTCCAGCATGTAATATAATGTATCTAAAATATATTAGTTTTAAATTTTATAGTGCAAATTGTGTAAAAGTACATACCTTTTACCATCTGTTTTAATAGCTTTCACGCTTTTTTGGTTTCCATTTTGCCAAGAGCGACCTATGGTCCCATTTTAAAATATCCACGTTTCATCGAGGAAGACAAACTGGTATAAGGCCTCAACCTTGGCTTGATTGTATTGCCTTAGAAATTCCACCCTTTTCAAAGCTATACTTGGTAGTTCCATGAGCCCTCGTCGCGGATTGTCCTTAAGCCACTTAAATCCAAGATCTCTAAGCAACCGCCTTAAAGACGTGGCACTACCATCAAATAATGCCCTATCTCTTAATCGAGACCATAAAGTTTGTATCGTAACTTGTTCTTCTGAAACCATGTGTAATATGACATTATAATTTAGTTAACAAATTAATGCAAATTTCTGATAAGTTATTATAATAAGATCTTACTTTTGTGATACATATTATAGATCACTTCTCGAATGGCACTTGTATCCAATGTCGCTGTGTTGGTTACACGTTTAATATAACTCCGCTTTTTCTTGGCCGATTCTAAATTTGCATCACTTTTCACACCCTCGGAAATACGACTAACTGTCCTTAAACTAATTTTTAAAGCAGCAGCAACACGCTACAAAAAATGAAATAAAATTTCACTATTATTAATATACATTACATATAATTATTAGTAACCTACCTCTTGAACAGCATTTAAAGGCAACAAAGGCCCGTTGTTGTCCCTTTCTTGCTCAAAGTAGTGCATTAACGAGGCCACGAGTTCCTTACACCGACTATTTAACTGTTTGGGCATCTTTATATACCAAAATTGCCTTTATCTACTCGTAAAATGAATAATTTTGTTTTGAAACAAACAGTAGTTGATTTACAGTATGCGGGGCCAAAGGATTTATAAAGATTTGAAATGCCACAAATTGATTCAGTGTCAAAATTAATACAAATGTCAGTTCCCAGTTTAAATAGGTTTCAAGGTGACAATGTGTCAACGCTGCGAAATCGGTTTAGTGCGTTTACATGTCGATAAGTGATTGGAGCGTTTGCAAAACATTTTATTTCGCATAATGCGTCTAAATTTATCAGAAAACAACTTATGTGATATTTTAATAACAATGTTTATATGACTATTAACCATAATAAGAGAGTAATGACCATTTTACAATTTATATATCACATTAATATGAAACTGCAATAGAGCAACTGTTTGTGATAGAAACCTAGGCATTAGGTCGGGGAATTTTTATCGTGATGACGTGCACGCCACTTTGTTTGGCGTTGACTATATGTAGTAGTTATTATTGCTTAAAAATACCAACCTATTTTTTAATTTTTTTGTTAAATATTGGACCATAGTTGCATATGATGTTTTTAACTATAGTCCAGATCGAATTTCACCAAGAAAACGTACGCGTATACTAATTTGGACTACAGTTGGAAGGGTCTCATGCAAAAATAGATATATTGAAAGTGATATCTGCAAAAAGAAACTACAAATTACAATCAATAATCTTATTTTTTTATTTATAAGGTACAAATTGAGATCAATTTAACAAAACAGCCTACTCTTCTTAAAACGTCAACAAATGAACAAAGAAAACGTATCTTTCATAGGAACATTTCAAACTATTCATAGAAATTATTTGAGAAAAGCAATAAAAGATAAAGAAATTAAACAAAAACAATTATTTTTTGGGATTTCCCCACCTACTTTCTAGCTCCGGAACTCGGAATAAAGACCTTTTGGTGCTCATTTTTTTGGGCTCCTCAGTTTTATATTTAATATCACCGAGAGGGTAAAATATAAAGGCGGCTTTCGTTGAGTTTTTAATAGCCTCTGGATATTTTGTGAAACGTTTCGTTAGAACTTTTTTCTTTCCTGGGTCATCAACTAAATTAGTCTCATGGTAATTATAAATCAAGTGAGGTGGGATATTCTCAATTTCCATTTTCAAATGATTGAAATAGTTCTTGATAGCTTCTTCATTTACTGCAGCTCGGACACGTTTAATATTGCTGCAGAACCTATGCGAAAGCTCTGATTTGTGTCTCTTTAAAAAAAGTTGAGCCCATGTACGACCTGGAAAATTATTTGAAAATTGTGGCACATTCCTTCCTTGCTTGTCCAAATATGTTTTCACTATGCATCGTAGGTCAGATAAAGTGATTGGGAACCCAAAGTGACACATTTGGATGGCGTGATCGACGAATGAGGATTCTTCTTTCGTGGTGAATACACATTGCCGACCAGGTGGGCGAACACTATTGTTGCGTATTGCTTTTATTTTCAGAATTATTGAAGGATCTTGGTATTTTATATTTTTCTGACGCCTCCCTTTGAGTTAATACTCTGTTTTCTATATCCGATAGGCACAGTTCCATCTGTCTGTCGCTATAATACTTGTATGGCCTGCCTCCTAGCTTTCTTCTGGACATTTTCAGTGAGTCATCCATCCACACCTGTAATAAAAATGAACTTCTAAATATGGTCCAAAAAAATCATAGGACTATTGTTGAAACCAAAATACGAAATATTATTATTTTTCGATTAATTTTTATAACAACACCTATATGTGAAAAACTATTTGCACAAAGTAGTCACTATTAGCTTACCTTCAAACAAAAACAAACCGCGAAACTCGGCACAAACTGCAAGTAATGTTTTCAAATAAAAGTTTCGTCATCCCATAAAACACTTGTTCAATTTGTCGGCCGGATTGCCTTACCGAGCGGTGTTGCCATCTAGTTAGAAGCGCGGTAACTATCAGACTTATACCCATAGGCAATAATGATACATATTAAATTCACTTGGCGGCAGCACTTTCGAACTTTTAAAGACAAAAATGGACAGGTCATTTTGGATCATAGTTGTATAATAGGACTATAGTTGTATGATTTTACGGTTCGTATTTATCTAAATGCGTTCAATTTGAGCAGTATAACAGCTTCCCATCAGAATCATACACACCCGCAATGGGAGTGCCACAAGGTACTAGCTTGGGTTTCCTACTATTTTTGATTTTTGTTAATATCAACCATATAATAACAGTAGAAAATCAAATGTTTGCGGATGACCTAAAAATGTACCAAGTAATTCATGGACAAGTCAGCTTAGACCATTACCAGAAAACAGTCTATCATATTAGGCGATTATACAGAGTGTTAGGGAAATAATATTCGTAACCTTAAAAGCTGATTCCTTGCATTATTCTAAGCAAAAAGTTTATTCTAACCTATGTCCGAAAATCAACTGTTTCGGAGCAAAAAAATGCTTTTTAGTCATGAAGTAAATTAATTGTGCACCTTAGTAATTTAAATTCATATGCCTCATAGCATAAAATGTATCAATACATCTATTTACTAATCAACTGTTTCTAAAAAAATAATTTTCTTGCTTATCAAATACAATTTTCCGAAGAAAAACAGACAAACAAAATCCCTCACACAACTGGCAACACTGTACTCTGCCTGCACTGCGTGTATCATAGCGTGTTGTTGTGATTACTAATAAATTTTACTGTAACTTTATGTGATTTACGGATGTTGTTTTTTTTCTTTTTTTCGTGCATCGCATCGTTTCAATTAAGTGACTGATAATCGTGGAAATTGGTGTTGTGAATCGCCACGTACCGGTAAGTTCTGTATTTTTTTTAAGTAAATGTACTGTATACTAAATAAGAAATATTAGCCGCAAAAAATTGCGTAAAAGTATTCAATAATTCAAGGCATATTTTCAACAAAAATATCATACAAACGTAATCAATTCCATGAATCAGTTGCGGTGATCGTGCGCTCGTATTACAGTTGCGTTGCTGCGTTGCCAAATGTTTGAGAAAATTTAATTATTTACGACACACTTTCCTCGAAAACGATTGATCTTATTTAAGTTATAATGCACTTTTTGACAGAGCAAAGGAAGCAAAAGGCCTAGGCTAAACTACTATTTCTTCAGATCTGTTATTTTCAACATACTAAAATCAACTTGACATTCGCTTGGATTCATTATTAGAAATTGCAGTTCTTCTACTAACACGGAATCATTGAGAGTTCTATATTTCACTTTAGTTTGAAGTTTACTTGAATATGGTTGTGTCATTTGATCTTGTATATCTAAAGTCGAGAAAATCCAAACGAAAAAGTTAAAAAATCTGTATTTAAAAGCATATGGTGTATATCCTCCATTGCAACTATCCAAAGAAGGATCTCTTAGATCACTTTGTAATGATCAGTCTTGAACACCGAAGATGTTTGTTAAGCTGTTGTGAACATAAATACATAAAAGAAGAATATTGTTATATTTGAAAACGGTTCAGAATCCTTTGTTACCTTTTAGTATGCATATTTATAGTATGTATTTTAGGAGTAGGCTTAACGTTCAGGAATATATTAATTAGCGCGTGCTCTTACTGCACTGATGGGGCTTTGAGTTCGATTTTTTAAAAACACACAAAGGATTCTTTTTAGCATCAATACATGATACTATTTTTTGTATGCGTGTCCATTTGTTTTTCATCACTTGTATAGGGATTCTCTGTAATTGGATCTTGTATCTGTTGAGAAATATATGAATAAAATAGATAAATAAAGGGACATGGTATTTCGCACGGAAGTCAAATGAATCCACAGCGACTAGATGCTTGTTAAAGGATAAGTGTTCTGTAATTATATTTATGTCCTCGAAGAATTTATTAAGCAGAATTTTGTACAATAATGGCAAAACTGAACGAACTAGTTTGACTGACTTGATACAAACCTATAAAGAGAATAAATTGGTTTGTTAGCTAACCTTAATGGACATGTTAATTAATTGTGAAAAATATGTATATACCTTTTTTAAATTGTGCCTCTCAGGTAAGTAGCGAAACTGTTTCAATAAAATGCTCAGTTATTGCTGTCATATCAATCTATTATATTAGGTTTGATCCACGGTTTGAGCAGGCCGGAATTCCTTTTTTTGATTGGTCAAATTAGCATATCGGTCGCAAAGGACCAGGCACAAAACATAAGGAAGGTGGGTCCCAGTCGATTTGTCTAAAAATTCAGTATGATGTATTTCTTGCCTTCCCGAACAAAAGTGTACCTGGGACCAAAGCAATCCTATGATTAGTTTCTAAGAAATGGGTGGATAAAGATTTGCAAAAATGGTGATTGTATCGATTGACCAAACACTCGGATAATAAGTATACTAAAAGAAATATTTCATTAAAACGCCTTGTAGGCAGGTGTCATAATGATCGTAACCATGATCCTTACAATGCCAGTTCCAAGGCAAATTGATTTTTATATGTTTATGCTGGAATAAATCTGGTACTAGTTGCTTGAGAATTCCGGAAACTTAAAGGACAGGTAGCTGTTCCAGTGCGCAGAAAAGTCGTGGTTGTTTCCTTTGATTATGACCTTTACAGGGTCATGTTGATTTTGAAAGTGGCAGGGAAAAAAGTTTACTGATGTGAATTTTTTCGGCTGCCACATTTGCCTAGAGCTCGGACACCAGATTTACATCTACAGTAATATCCATTAATCATTGTAAGAGTGTCAAGTAAATCCTGGGTACTTCTATAAACTTTTTGATAAGATACCATAGTCTTGGTAACTAAACGAGATTCATTGACTAATTCCGTAGACAGCCGCCATTGATTTCCTCCCAGAGGTGAAGGCCTTTTTCCAATGTACACCCAACTGATCTAACTATACAGTGACATCACATGACACCGCTGAATACCTTCCTACAAGGTCTTCTAACGACATATTTCAAATCAAATTTTATCTGCTTATTTTTCGGAAACTAGTCATAGGATTTCTTTGGTCCCATGCATACTTTGGTCCTGGAAGACAAGAAATACGAGTATATCATACTGAATTTACTGTTACCCATTTTCTTTTTTTTGTACCTGGTCCCTTCGTTTCCAATACCAATTGAAAAAAAAACGTGTTTTTGTAGCTAAATCAAGTGATATATGGAGTACTTATTGATTTAGTATGAGAATTAGGAGCCCTTCTTACACAAATCGTATAATTTCTTGAAAAACGCCTTCGCATTGGTCGAAGTGCCATAGCCGCATATGTTGGTTCCGCGGCTCAATAGTAAAATTGGACCCAGAGGATGCATTTATCAAATAAAAAACAAGAATACCATAGACTGTTATTTATTACACAATATAGCTTTTTCAAATCATAGTTGTCTTTTCCTAATGATGTCCTTGAACGTTTTCGCAGACAGTTTAGGCGTCCTTGTTCTATTTGGGCTTGTAAAATCCACGTGGTAAAGGCCAAATTTGACACTGTAATAAAAGAAATGATAAAAAAGTGATAAATGATGATTTCTTTATCTTTTGAAAAAGAGCAAAAATTTCTTACGTGTATCCAAGGCTCCATTCCATGTTATCAAGAGTACTCCAATATGTGTACCTCTTCACGTTGCACCCATCTTTCTCTACAGCATCCATGACTGCTTGTATGAACAACTGAAAAAGTAACAAAATTGATTTTCTATCGAAATAATCAAAGGCGCCATCTGTGACGAGATCTTGTCCTGCAACCCCACCATAACCCATGTTTGTGTAAATCTGATATCAGTATTTCGCTGAGATTATTGGGCCTAAAGACTTTATCAAGCTGCCTTTTGTATAGCAAGGACAAATATCAATGGTTTAGTTTGAATGACCTGATAAAAACCTATAAAGAGAATAGACTTTTGTAGCTAACTTTAATCGACATATTGATGAATTGTTGAAAAGTTGTCCACTTTTTCCAAAATTACCTAAGGTAAGAAATGACATTGTTATATTTTCAATAAAATGCTCAGTGATAGGCTAGTTGACACTTTTTGTAAGTTGGTCTTAAAAAGTGAACATTTGTTCTATTAGATCAAAAATATTAATAATGTATTTTTTCAGACCTAAAAGTCCATAAAACTTCAATCAAACCATATTTTTCTTAGCTAGGCGAAAGCGCTGTCCGCCGTGTTTGGCCCATATTAATGTATTCTGACGTCATACCATTTGTTAACAGCAACTGACAGCAGAAACTTTTAACATATAAACATCACTTCTGCTAGTTTGCGTAAAAAAATACAGTACTTATCGATACTGTATCGTCCGAAAATGTAAAAACACATCGTTAAAGACCCCAAGAAAGCTGTATATTATAGTGCCCAGAGAAATAAATATATGCAACACTTTGTATTGCTAGAAGCATACCCTATGTTCGGCACGGGTATTACTTCTCTTGAAAAGTTACATTTTGACCATTATGTCTATTTACAGCACCATGTAAATGGAACTAACACTCATCTGAGAAACAAATATATTATTAAATAACAGATTTGCATTGTTGATCAAACGTTGCTACATTAATTCGCAAAACTTCAGTCTTCTGTCAGAATTGTCTTCATTAAGCTCTTGGATAGTTTTATCTTGTACGGGTGAAAATTATTGTCTTTAAAAATTCTTTGTACTGTTGGGCGTGTAAATCCTGTAAAAGTAGCCAGTCCATGAGAGCTTTGGGTCTTGTCAAGTGCTACGTGTCTGATTTTCTCGATGGCGATAACGACGAATATTAGACACGAATCGAGTTTCTTCAAATTTTCTTATCAACTTAGCCGCAAACTTACCGTTAATATTCTTGTTTGGGTGTAACGCACTGAGCAACCGGGCAGTAGCTCTTACAATGCTCCCATTTTGGTAATATAGTGTTATTCCAAAATCTCGTAACCTTTTTACTATTTTGATCACTTACCAGTAATTTGAATTTTTCTTTACTGATAGTAGAGTGCCCATTCCTAGGCCAAACCTTTTTTAATGATTTTCTTCTGGCAAATTTCAGAGTTTATTGATTGTAAAACACGTATTATATCTTTCTTTCTCAGTGACTCAGTATTGTGTTGAAATATTTTGGACACTAATCTTAAAGCATTATCAACGACTATCTTCGAAATTTCCTCACAACATCTTGTTGGTCTGTTGTAGAAAGTTGGCAACCAGCGCGCCACCTTCTGATGTCTACACGTACTAGCCTTATATGAATGTTTACCTTCCTATCAAGATACCTTCTTTTAATTGCGTTCAGTCGCGTACAGCGCCATTTTCTTTTTCTTTTTGCTGTGGTTTTGGTTGTGTGTGGGCGTGTTCCCGTTAACTTCTAGATTTTTCGATATTAACGCCCCAAACACCAGTTTATGGAATAGTACCCTTTTATTTTGCACCTTACGTTTATTTGTGTTGATTTGAGTACTACCCGTCCATTTTCTAATGGGAATTTAGCCTCCATCGGTAAGTTCTCTTTTGTATACCATTAATGCATGTCCTGAAGAAGTTTGTTCAATATCTGCTTCCTTTTAGTGGAAAGACATTGCGGAGAACCACCATTCACACCCCTCCAGCTTTGTCTTGTAGCTGCCTTGTAGCTGTTTCGCAGCCGATTTTTTTGGAGGACATCCCTTCCCTTTGACAAAAAAACCCTGATGCGAACAGGTAAAATATCATTTTAATTGGGTATTTTATAGATATTAATATATTGCTGACTGAAGTTCTTATAGTGTTCTTGATTTTATTACGTATTCAAATATAGGGCTGTGCTTACATGTCACCTTCTTTTGGGATTACTGCATTACATTGATCATGGTTTTGAATTTTGAGCTACCATAACTTATGTTAGAACAAGGAATGACTTTCTGGGGGTATGTTACTTTAGTACATGTTTATCTTTTTGCACTTGCTTTACTTTTCTTGTGACAGAGAATGTATATGAAGTTTTGAGTGTTTTAAATGAGTAGTTCTGTCTCAGACATAGAGAAGAGAGTAGATTTTTAAACAGTCTTTCTCTCTCTAGGTTTTTTTATACTGTAAAGTTTGGAAAACGAGGCAAGATAAGTCAAGGTTTAGGCGTTAAATTATTTGTAAGGCCTATATTTGTAAAGCCTTCGTACGTGGCCATGGTAAACGCTTTTCAGGGTAATTTATCACGGTCCAATATTTTTATTGTCAGGTAGTTTTGAATAACATCCTTTCTTTTAACTTGCACTCCAGTGGTGGAGCGCATCTGCTGCTTGTTTTGATAATATATTGTGATTTTTAATGTCTTGGTTTATTTGACTCTCTAGGTTTCGTTATTACTATTAGATTCTTTTCTCTTATGTGGTGGTCAAGCAAAATAAGTTCCGACTAACATCTCGGGAATTTGTGGCTTAATCCGTCTTGAGTCACTGGCGCTCTTAGCCACCCCTACTCTCTGCTTTATTGAGCTAGGGCCTAAATTTGCACGCCACTTGACAGCTGTTTAGCATTGACTGACCCTTAGATTTCATTCATAGTAATTTATTAATTCATTAGTTAATTTAAAAAAAAATAAAGAGGAATCACAGCACCATTTCTTCTTGTTTACCAAAAAAGGCGTAGCATCAGTTTTGTTATTTCTACCCTTTCTTGAATTGAATAAGTCATTGTTCAATATTTATCACAAATGAAATTAAATGAAATGAAAGAGTTTTTCTATGACATACGATGACACTGACTGATGCTAAATGTTCTTGCTGGTATCCATGCACACACAAAAAAGTGATCTTGGTCCAAGGACAAATATCTTCAATTGAGGAACCCCGACTTCGATATGTTTCCAAGACGTATATCTTCGAATTAAGGTCAATTTCTCAATTGTAAGTACCTCGTTTCCTTAAAACAACAAAATTATCACATTTGAAGTATCTGTGATCTCGAACCAATATAATAATTTCATAGAAACTCATGTCCTTGAATCTACGCCACTCTTTTTTGTGTGTTACTGTTATTTTTGGCGAGCATTTCATTATTATCAGTATTAAGTTAGTCGAATTTTAATATAAACTCAAATAGCTTCACAAATATTGAAAATAGGTATAAACTTTATCATACAAAAGTTACTAAAAACTTCATAGAAAATCTGACAATAAAAAAATGGGGGTTTCCGTTTAAAAATCTAAGATGTAACGCAATATCTTATTTTTGGATCACCCTGTACAGCTATAGATGAAAAGACGTTTCTCTAGAAATAAAAATTGACGTTTCTCAGCGTTTTCCCCAGAATATACTAGGAGAGTCACAAACGGAGGTGCGACCTTTTCATTGGGCCACCCTCTATAGATATACTTCATTGGCAGCATATTCAGTGATAATTTTCTCACATAGCAAACATAACTGATTTTATAATAATCATCCAGATGCGACCTTACTACTCAACCGACTTTCTTGCTCTCTTCTCAGAGATAAACACTACTTAGCTGTCTGCAACCAACAATCCATGCTTGAGCGTGTCGTGTCGTTGAGTTATTCCTCCACAGATGGACGCTTTTGATGATGCTTACAGGGATCATAACGAGCACACGTGGAATGAAACTACCCAGTCTACAAGATGACATTTTGTTGTTGTTTTTTTCTTGGCGTTTTTCAGGTTTTTTACATAATACCCCTGCGGGACATATTTTACATTTTACTCTGCACATTTTGTCGTCTCGTTCAAGTTGGATGTAACCTGCGGCAATTATTTCTTTTTGTGTCTATCATAATATGCACTGTATTTACATAGAAGTATTGATGTTGCTCAGCTCAGAAGAGCAGAAATCTGGTTTGAAGGCAAAACAATGTGGAACCGTAAATGTGTTAATTTACGGCAAATCTGAACTTTCTGCTTTTACGAATCCAACGTCCATAATTGTTTTTCAGTAAAACTAGAAAACGATAAATTTTTACGTTGATTAGACGTTTTTCAGAAATATTTAAAGACCACTTCAGTCCGCGAGTGATATACGGATGAAGTTTCTTTGTTTATAATTTGCTTAACGTAACATCATGGCCACCGTTTCATATTAAAAATGAAAAATAGGCTTGCTTAAATTGAACTTATATGTCCCCCTTACGTTAATATCGGAAGAGGTAATTTTCAAAATATGATTTGTCGATCGGATATGGAACCACGACAAAAGCACATTTTTTTATTTTGACGAAATCGGTATTCCATTGTGAATCCTTTACATGATGAAAGATGAAAATGGATGTCCTGAATGGAACTATTAGAATTTCACAAATAAATGGATCTTGTCTCTCACGATTTGAATTAAACACATGTTAAAATGTAACAGTCAGATCGTGTTTTCTCCATACAATGTTAATTAGTTATTTCAACATTACAGCTGGTAAAAACAAACTCAAATTCTGATGCAGTCTTCTTGATCCAAACAGTCGCAGGCATTCTCTTCATCAGCTATTTCTTCGGCAATGGTTGGAGTATTGAAAAGTACCTTTTTGTACCAAATGTAAGAAATCGTCTGGATTTTGCCAGTTTTCAAAAACAGCCTGTAGAAGTTTGTCAATATCGTTCTTCTTTTTGTCAGATAAGGGCCTTCTCAGAGGCAATGTTAGTGGCTGCATCCTACATACATACATAGTAATGACTTTTTGTTCAAATTTTGGTATGATTCATCTCTCATAGATGAAGCTCTATATTGCCTTAACTTTGACTGAAAGCATATCATGAACCTCACTGAACACAACTTTTTTCGAATTTCTGCGACGTGGTTTGGTGTCACTTTTGAACTATGGAAGACCTTTGTATTGTGCCCAAAAGTGTTGATCACATACGAATTGCGGAGTTTTGAATATCTCGCACTTTTAGCGGCAACCCTTTTTCCACCAGTAGAATGTCTCTTACGGCTACCACTATTACTCACTTTTACTTCAGCAGTATCTGCATCGTCTAAATTTTCCATTTTCAAACTGCTACCTAATTGAAGAAGAGACAAACAACATAACCTCAACATATAACGGCCGTATGACGAGTGATCCATTCAAAACTTGTTTTGTCTAGGTTTGGTCAAACGTCAAAATGGCTCATCTGTGATTGGTTATTCGGACAAAACATTTTATTACTGATTCCTGACTGAGGAGAGGTCAGGATTTGATTGTCTTTGTCTGCTAAAAACAAGCGGTCCATACATACGAGTAAAAAAGAAAGTTGGGATTTCTAACTCATTTTTTTCTCTTTTGTGACAAAACACGTTTTGAAAGTTACCTCCTCATCGATACATTTCGTTTTCATAAGGCAAATACTATGAGCCTCACATTTATTCTATGAAATTAGATATGAGTCAAGTAGCCTATTGCTGTCATATCAATACACATATTGTATCAAGTTTGAGCAGGGCGCAAATTCTATTTGATTGGTTGAATTTGCATCTAGGTAGCAAATTTTCACCCCCCGTGTCAATAGTAAAGAGCCGAAAGATACGTTAGTACCTTGATTTGGGTAACCCGATCGTGATCTTCCAATGCTTCACTTATATCTCCATATCCGTTTTCTGTGATATAAACTAAAGGATTGTTGTACTTTTCCTTGATCCAGTTCATTAATTTTCGGAAACCCCATGGTACTATTTGCGGAGACGGTTTCCAATTTGGGTCTTGACGGCTTTTGATACCTAAAATTCGCAAAATGTTTACCTCAAAAATACAAAATACTATAAGGATATTTATCCCAGGCTACAGAGAAAAAACATAGGTATTTCGTGTAAAAAAGCTTAACAGATGTCTGAAAGTTTTAGATGAAAGGGGGTATTTCTAATGACAAATACATAAAAAGATACAGCCAGGTTATGCGTGGTTAAGCAGTAAACTGGATATCTCAGAGCATGAAAAGACCTTCAATTTGTTTTTTGAGAATCCAGATCGATAAACAATTAAGCTAAATACGCGGCTTCTTAACAATATTGAATAAATGTTTACAACTATTGCAATAACAATTGTAAATGCCTACAAATTTGTGAGAATGAGGGCATCATTGGTGTTAATATGTATATGCTAAATTTTAGCCGGATCGGTTTAATAGTTTATGTAGAATGCTAATTGTTTATCTCATTATTAAAACAACTGTTTTAATTATGTGTCTCAATTATTTAAACAGCTCTTCTTGCTCAAGATATGGTTCTAGAGCATTTTACAAAAGTGAAATGGATTCTGAAGATTTAAACTTAAAAATTAAATATTTATTTCAAAATTGTTGCTAAGAATGATGTTAGGTAATACCCATTTTTATAGTTATAAACATTTACAATAACTACGTTATTTTGAAATATAGTTTATTCTAACAAGTTGATCTGGATAGGATATCTCCCTTGTTTATAAACATCAAGACTCGAAATTTTCAGAGATTTTAAATCAAGGATCTTAATGTAATAATCCAATTTATAATTTTGCTATTAGTTCAAAGATATTTAAGGAATAGCCACATAAAGTGAAGGTACTCTCGTAAATAGATACTTCAGGGTGAGATGGTGGGGACTCAGCTCTAGCACGGCTTATTTTTTGAAATTGCGTCTTCAAATCGGAGCGCACTATAGAATTTTGCATTATCTCGGCTTCTAAACAAGGTAGAACCTTTTTTTTTAATTGGACATGAAAATCGGAAAATCCAGAAAATTAACACGTTGCATTCTTCAAAATTAAATTACTATGAAATAATAATAAATTAACAATAAATCGTTTACTTTTGCTCCCACTCTAATAAAATAATTTGTATTTTACAATAAAATTGTTTAGACAATGCATAATTCAGTTAATTGGAATACCCTTAACAAAATACAATCTAATAAATTGTAAAAATTATTGATTCACGTTTGGCTTTCATTTATATTTATTTTATTTGCATTCGTTGTGTTAATAATATATAAAATTATTTTATAATATTTTTATTATTTAAGTAATTTTGCTCCTCCGTTCTAAATCTTTTATTTGGACGCTCTACTACTTCTTCAATATTTGTATAACTCATTTCTTCAAATAAGTCGTCGATTTTTATTTTGGCTCCTATTGGTCGATAAAAGTGTCTTTTAAATACGCTTTTTTAACCAAATATCCAGATCAACTTGTTAAAATAAATTATATTGAAAGCTAACGGGGTTATTGTAAATGTTTATAACTATAAATTTTTTTTTGTAAAACGTTCTAGGACCATATTTTGGGCAAGAAAAGTTGTTCAAATAATTCGTCTCTGGGTCAAACAGTTAGCTTTTCACGTAAGCTATTAAACCGCTCCAACTGAAATTTAGCACACTCATTAACACCAGTGATGCCCTCATTCTCACAAATGATTAACCATTTACAAGCCCCGTTGTTAGCTTAATTATTTATCGATTTGAATTCTTCAGTTTACCGATTATATTAAAAATTTAATTTGAAAATTATACGAGCAAAATACTGATTTTTGGGCTTTTCCCATTGTCTATTCGGCTGTTTTTGTTATGGATTTGTCATTAGAAGATATCTGCTAAGCTTTTTGTCACTCTTTTTTAATCTAGCCTGGACTGATTGGCCTCTTTAGAAGCAAGAGTAAGTAAAAGCTTACCCATATCTTTTTCGTGTGAGGGTTCGCCATCTATAGGAAAATCGTGGTCACCCACAAGCCAAGTATGATAGTGGTTTAAACCCAAAAAGTCTGCAGTTCCTTTGATCATTTTTATCTCGTCGGTTGTAAGAGCTGGCAGTCTAGAGATAGTGAAGTTCTCTAAGCGACTCCTTTCGTCAACCCTTTGTTTCATGACTTCCGGATAGTCGCCGGTGTTGGAAAATATTGGGTTCGCCCACCAACCAAACTAGAATGCCAAATTATTAATAAAAATAACATCCTAACAGAACACGTAGATTTGAGGTCAATTAGCACCAAAAACATTGGAAAAACGTTGTTTTATTAGTATGGTTTCGGTAGCAGTCACAACAGTATACTTTATCTGAAGTCACTTGAAATAGCATAAAAACCTTTGGTCGGCGCGTCCTTTGTAATTTCATGACGTATCATAGGCGTGCGGTCATTTATTTAGAACGATAATAATAATGTTTTTATATCACAATAAATCTATTTTACTATCTTCTTATTTTTTTGATTTGGGATAAAAAATACTTATATTGGGAGTTTAATTTATGTTGACTGAAAGTTAAGAAATGGAAAAATTACAGAATTCCAACGTTTGACATAGGCAAATATTTACATAGCAGGTAGGTATATAAAAAGGTATATAAAGACTTACATTATAGGTATTTATATATCATCCTCGCCTTCGGAGCTGTCGCTAGAGTCATCTTGTAGAGGAATTACAACGGGATTTACAGGAGGCAAAACACAATATTCATTTTTTCGATAATATGCCTAGAACACTGCTTCCATAGGTCTGTGGCAGCAATATGAGATACTGCATCTCTTATTGTGGCCAATAGCGATTCACTTAATTGAGGGGTCTGATTATGTTTTCTTACTTTTTTTTTAAAGCAGCCCAGACCAACTTAATCGGGTTAAAAATGCAGTAATAGGGAGGTAGACGTAATACTTCATGGCCATTTTGCTGAAGCAGATTGTCAACAACATACTCTTTTTCAAATGTTTGTCTTTTAATAAGACCCTATAATATGGCTTTGGTTGATTTTTGTGGTATTTCCATTCCCTTATCCTTCATAAAATCAATAATGTCTTGTTTTTTTGTGCCTGTATTCGGAATTTTATTTTTCTGTCGGGAATGGTATGGCGCATTGTCCATAATAATCACTGAATTTGGGGAAATGTTTGGTATTAACTGCTGCTCTATCCACTTTTCAAATAAGTCGGACGTCATGTCCTCATGATAGTCGGCACATGATTCTTTGATATTTTTGGGAGATAACAGCAAGGCATTAGGTATAAATCTATTTTCACTGCCAGCATGGAGAATAATGATTCGTTTTCCACGGTTGCATGGTGCATTTAAAATGCACTTGTTGCTGTCGTCAACCCAGCCGTACTGCACAACATCATGGGTATCATACCACGTTTCATCCAGGTAAATCAGATTTCTTTTCTGCTCTCTATAGATTTTAACTTTGTGCAAAAATTCTTGGCGCAATTCAACGATTCGAGACGACTCCATAATCACCATTCTTTTATCTAATTTTTTGTATTGAAAACCACACAGTTTTACAATACAGTGCAGTGAGTCTAAGCATTTGTAATTATAAAAATCTTCAGGATAATCTTTTAATTTATCCCGTATCATTTCCAACGTGGGCACCAAATTTTCTTTATAAAATCCGTATATTATACGACGAATATCTTCCTGAAAACCCACGTCTATTCTTTTTAATTTTTGCCCTATGCGCTTTCTGTGGAAGGAATGGTTGACTACATCTCCCCTTTTTACAACCCGATAAATGGTAGACTGATTTTTGTCAGGATACAAATTCTGTTTAAAATTTGATTTTGCGAGGAATCTGGATTTTCGTTTTTCAGACAATCATACATATTTAGGATTACTCTTTGGGTCTGTTCCTCTAAATCTTTATGAAAGAATTCTGCCTGCACAGGTTCATCAACCATCTCCTCGTGGCTTGGAGCATTTTCCCAAGGTCTCCAAAGAGCCATATTTAGGACACACAAGAACAATCAACACAACAATTAAATCAACAAGTAAACTGAGTATTCAAAAGTCAAAAACACACAAACTAATAGAATCTATGAAAAAACACGGACAGACTAAAGAAAACACGTTTATTCACCGCTACACGGCACTGGCTAAACTGTTTCAATTTTCAGTCGCCACCTGCACTTGTTCGGAGCTCTGAAATACACGCTTTCTCATTGGCTATGTCCACGCATAGGCGTGCTTTACTCCACGTGGACCGGTGAAACTGCCTTTGATCTTATATATTTGCTGCGAAATTTGGCGATTTTTGCAGCAACAGAGCGTGTTAAATATAGATATATAAAACGCACCCGGTATTTCACAGTGTTTCAAGTGACTTCAGATAAAGTATACCTACATCGGCACTGTACACAGTGTACACGTAACTGATGAAATAATTTGTAATTTCGACAATCATATTTATACTGTACTATTTTGTTGACTTTTTTAAATCACTTCATACGGTTAACCATGGTATTCTTCTATACAAATTGAAATACTACGGACTTTCCGATGTTCCTCTTTGTTTTTTAAATCTTATTTACAATCGCAAGCAACAAGTAACAACAAACCGAGGAGCTTCTGCTAGTGCTGAGGTTGAGTCTGGTGATTCACAAGGATCCGTACTTGGTCCCTTCTTATAGTTAATCTATTCTTTCGACTGGCATATTTCATTAAAACAGTTAGGCTAACTTTCACTTTTGACTCAAATAACCTTTATCAAGTGTCGTATAAAATTAAGTTGGACCTGGTGAACACAAGTAGCTATTGCAAGGTTAAGGGTTTGAAGGTTGATACTACTAAAAGTTTTGCAATGTGTTTCTGTCCTAAAACCAGCTATGAAAGTTTTGAAAGGATGATTATTTTGAGGGTAAATAACGTTCGTATTCCACAGGTCACGCATGCAAAAAGTTTAGGTATCACTTTAGATGTAAATCTTAGTTTTCATCACCACGTCAGTGGTACATTGAAAGCTACATATGCAAGCTTGAGTCTCCTATATTCCAATCGTTCTATCCTGAATTTCTAGACTTGAAAGAAATTACTAGCGAGTTTGATTATGTCTAAACTGCTTTACTGTTTGATCCTATTTTATCCTTGTCTTGACTTCATAACAAAAACGAAATTGCAAAACTGTTGCTGTCGTTTTGCTTTCGGTCTTCGTAGGTACAGCTGTGTTACATCTAAGTTTTATGAGCTGGGGTAACTGGAGCTCAAGAATCTCTTTGAGTTTTCAGTGTTAGTTTTTATACACAAAATAATCATTACCAAGAGACCTAGGTACCTAGCAAGTAAGTTAGTTCCTCGTAGAAGTCTAATTACGCCATGATGACCAGTTCGATATTCCTCTTCACCATACTTCATTGTACCAAGGATGTTTTACGTACAATGCCGTTCACCTATAGAACTCACTCAGTACGTCTAACAAACAAAAAAGTTTACCTGACTTTAAAGGTCGGTTAGAAAACGGAGATGCAAACATCTGTCAATGCATGAGTTACTGTTTTGTCATTCTTTAATTCTTGTGCATTCGTTTATGTTTCTAATATTACTCTTTTCTTTCTGGCTTGCTATGCTTGTAAATAATGTCATAAGGGTTCTGTATTTACTTTATGTTGCGTGTGTGTCAACCTTTCGTAATGTTTCGTCCATATTGTGGTTAAGTGGGAGAATAGCCTTCAAGCTAAACTTCGCCATGTTGTGGAAGATTACCAATAAAGTCACATTATTATTATTAAATCTTCGGGAGGAGAAAGATGCCGTTTTTCCGTACCCTTAAACGTGGGCACGGTGACAAGAATAATAGAGAGTTTAGTTCCAATTTTACTAAGCCTAAGTAAAAAAGAGCGTAGGTTACAAATTCAACCAATTTGAAGGCAATGAATCCAACGAATATGGTCGATTTCTTGTAAAATGTCTCTCAAACTCTAGAGAATAGCTATACGATTTGTGTAAGATGGGCCTCTATAACCCATATTAAATCAATAAATACACCATAAAGCATCCCACAAACCGGCGCGAAATATTCGCTTTGGCTGCGAAAATTTCGCGGCGATGAATTCGCGATCAGATTAAAACGCGGCGGTTTACGGACAGGCTCAGACTTGTGCGAAGCGAATGCGATTGTTCCAGCGTTTTTATCGCGGCGTATTTCAGTTCGCTTTTGACCGCGTTTTTGACGCCGTTCTTCAAAAATTCGCAATGGCAAAAACGGAATTATTGATAGAAATAGTGTAAAAGTATCCTTGTTTGTATGATTTGTCGAACGATGAATACAGGAATGTGAGAAAGAAAGACAAGATTTGGATGGAAATAGGAAAAGAATTAAATACAAATGGTATGTACCTAATATTTTTTATTAACTTGTTAAATAATTTACAGTCTACACAAATGTGAAAACGAACATTCTATATATTGGGCATAGGCATGTCAGAATTAAAATAATTTACGAATTTGTCACGAGTAGAAAATGCTAGCCTTGCTGCCCGCCGAGGATCATTTGCTATATCAGTAAAAGCTCCAAGCACGGGTTTTGGGGGATCTAAGAATTGAAAATATTTGTCATCGCCACTTTTACTTCGTAAAAAATTGTGTAAAACACATGCCGTGCGTACAATTAGAATAGTAGTATCTACTTTAGTTTCTAATGGCCTGTAAAATATTCGCCATTTTTGAGACAAAATACCAAACGCATTTTCCACGACCCTTTTAGCTCGACAAAGTCTTACATTGTATTTCTCTTTTCTGGCGTCTGTTAAAGTCTGCTTATAAGGAAATGGTCTCATAAGGTATGGTTTTAAAGCAAATGCTTCATCACCAATTAAGACGTACGAGTAGATTTCATTTTGCCCAGGGAGAAATCTAGGTGCAGGGACACTCATTAAATTTTGTTCAAATCGTTTTCCCATGTTTGAGGTTTCGAAAATACCCCCATCACTATTTTTTCTGAAACCACCAATATCAACACATATAAATTTATAGTCCGGGCCAACAATGGCCATAAGTACTATTGAATATTTATGTAAATAGCACCAGTAATTGGAGCCACTGTTGTTAGGTCTCTTGATTGTTACATGTTTACCGTCCACGCTGCCAATGCAATTGGGAAATCCCCATCTATTTTCAAATTCTTCAGCACATTTTTTTCCATATATTCTCTGTTGGTT